CAGAAATTATTGAGACCGGACCAGCCTCCGGGATCGTTTTAAAGGAACAACCCGGGCTCCTCATCACGGACGTCCGACTCCACGCACAGCGAATCTTTGTCAGACTCAGCCCTAGTGAAGTCTGCCGCAAGAACCTGCCCTCGAAGGTCACGCTCAAAGATTGGGCAGGTGCACGCTGGACCCAGACGGTCGTGGAGCATGCTGAGGCAGACATACAACACATGCTACGTCACCTCAGTTCCTCGATCGAAAACCCAGCCATGGGCCGTATCCCGCCATACCTCGTGCCGCTATTGTTAGTTGAGAACATTCTGGCCGTAGCCATGGCCTTCGTCCCAAATAGACAGGTTAGACGACTCCGCGGTACCTTTAACAGGTGCGCGGAGGCAATGACGAGACAGATCCGTAAACGACCAAACCGGGGCGACAGCGCCGTCGAGCGTGGCAATTTAAGTCGGCGTCCCCGGGTCAATGAGTCAGAGTACGAGGACCTCCAAAGTCACCCACTCGAGACGGTCACCCTTTCTATCACGGAAGGTGAACCAAGGGCCTAAAACCCCACTAAGAGTCACCAGCTCAGACCCAACCAACCTACCTCGATACCTAATCAGTCTCCTAGACAATCATACCTGTCATCCCCATTTATATACAGGAAATGTCCCTCGTAATTAAAGCCCCACTTGCTACGTCATATATTCGTGTAACCCTCACACTCCCCTTTTAGAACGAGCAAGATGGGAACCCCTCACCATCGAGTGCCTTAACGACGCTCCTACCCGCTGCCAAGGCAGCCACCTTTTTTTTGATTTTTGAAGTTTCCTATTTTATATCCTAGTCCCCTAAAGTAGAAACTCCTGCTACTCTCTTGGCTTGGAACTTTGAGTCTTCCAGACCAAGAGACCCAGGAGTCAGGCGCACCGGCCCAAACCTTAGAGTTCACGGCCGGAGCTCACTCCCTAAAACCCCTGATCCCGGTTAGAACTAGCCTGCAGGGCCAGGACTCGCCTTAGAGCAGTGGTTCTCAAACTTTTCACACCAAGTACCCCCTCAGAAAATACTTGCCTCTCCAAGTACCACCACAAATGACCACACCACACAGTAGCGTAGTAAGCCGAAGTATTCATCAATAACAAGGCAGAGGTTTCATTCCTAAAGAAGTATATTTAATGTAATATTTTACACAGTTTCAACAGTAAGACTGCGCTTAAATATAGGAAAAAAAAATGTTTTAAATGTTTCATTCATTGCGAACTGCAAAGCCTCACTGTGAATGATGTTCTGGAGTGAGATCTTTGTCCACAGAAGGTTTGGACACTGGTGCACTTTAGTTTCTAAGGCTTGTTCTGCTGCCGTCTTACATCTGTCGTTTACTCAGAGACATGTTCTCATGGTTTGGATCAAATGATCGTTTGTTGCTCTCTGTTCCTTTTGCACAGAACTGGGAAAAAAACTGCTCCTTCTACATGGAACGTGTTGCAAAAAGACTAGAAATGATCTGATCTTATTTCCTTGAATGCTTTTAGATCCAGATTGAGACATCTTCAGTGAAATGTAACTGTTTTTATAATCCGTAATTTTATGAAATTGTGTGTTACTGTTGTATAATCTGTATGTGACTATTTTATCATCTGTATGTGACTGTTTTATCATCTGTAATTTTATGTAATTTTTGTACACGAAAAAGAGGTTCTCATTGACTGCCAGCCATTTTTTGATGACTTCACTGATTTTTAAGACTCACAAAATATTATGTGCTATGAAAAATATGAAACCAGAGTCTGAAAGACAGGACTGTCTACTTTCAGCAGCAAAAATAAGTTTGTTCTTAGTTTGTTTCGTTCTCCTGTGATCTCTGCAGGAGATCTGCAGAAAAGTGATTGTAAAACTATTTAGTTTAACTTTAGCATCTCCTCAAACATGTCCAAGATCTTACATGTTAGAAAACAGCAACACGTTTTGAGAAAGTGTTTTTAATGTAAAATAATAAGTTTTATGGCACACACACATCCACAAAGTGTTGCTCAAAAATTTCAAAATGTACTCATCCAAAAAATGTCAAAATGTACATATTGAAAGTAGAGCCCATGACAAACTATGCCAGATAGAATGGCCAGTATTCATCCATTAGGTGGCACTATATTTATGTCAATAAGAGTAAATCAAAGAATAACAAAATTACAATGATAAACACTATGCATGACAATAAATCAAAGTGAATACTTATACTTATAGTATAAGTGCAACAGAATACTGCTGTGTCTCTTTGTGTGTTTGGGCGTGCATGTATGTGCGTTTATGCACGCGTTTGTGTGTTTTTGTGTGGTTACATCTACAGAGCGTCTGTTTAGTCCGGCGTGCGCTGTGACCATATCTGGACTTTGCTGCTGGCTCCTGGTGTGGACTCAGTGATAATTTTAGCAATAGTCCACTTTTCTATGGCTTTTTTGAGGTGCTCCACTGGTCTGCTGTCCTGACCCTCCACATGGTCTGCTGCTAGGACCCTCCACATGGTCTCTGTCAGCTCTGGAGACACATTTACTGCTCAAACTGCCTCCAAATGTAGCCTGACCCTGACTATATTACTCCATGTCTGCTTCACCTCTGTCTCTCCTGCTCAGAGTGCTCAGAGTGATCTTTGACCAAGCCAGGGAGCTCTGCTGCCACCTGCTGGCCTAATAAAATACTGTCTACAGCCAAACCCCAGACTGTATGATACAGGGGACACAGACTGACAGGAAAAGATTGAAAAACAATGTTGTCCTCAAATGACACCCATGGCTATCAATGAGTTAATCACAATGGGACTTTCCTGGTAAAATTAAAAAAAATAATAATAATAAAAAAATAAAATTCACAGATTTTTTTTTTTTCACAGATTCTTTGGCGTACCCCTAGAGGGCGCCCGCGTACCACTAGGGGTACGCGTACCCCAGTTTGAGAAACCCTGCCTTAGAGAAAACCCGGCCTCGACAAACCAAGTCAGAGGCCCGAGACCCAACCGCCACGAGCCTGGCCCCAGTTAGGCGCTTGCGAATTGCTGAGTCACATTGAAGCGAGAATGTTGTAACATGTCACCACAAATCACGCACTAACACCCGAACAGGCGAGACGACCGACCGAGGACACCCGCCCGGCATATCCGACATGACATGCACCTTGTCGGAAGGTGCATCTCTGCCGTGGGGGGGGTATGTAAGGTTAAATAAGGGACAGGGCCGTAAAACAGAGCCAGGCCCTGTTGTGTACACATTTGACCAAAAGGAGGAAGACGCCCCACTGCAGCTTCAAAGGAACAGCGATGTCGGCCGGAGGACTATCATCGATCATGGGGATTACAGATGCCAAAAAGAGCAATAAAGTCACCACGGGGATAAGCACCTCTGTCTCTGCCTGCCTGTAGAGATCAAAGATCACAACCCTGCTCTCGCTCACAGACTCCTGCCACCGGACAATCAAAGACTCCCCCGCGGCGCTCTGACGCCCCCTTGTGAACAATGGACACTATCACACCCGGGACGGACAATTGCGAACCGGCACCCCTGGGTCCAGTACTCCAATAATCTGCATTGTGCCCCATATGTGTGTATCAATGTCAAAGTAATGAAATACGGTGTGTGTTTGTACATGTCTTATGATTATTTGCATCAATCTTGTGTGTTTCCTTTACAAACTGTCTGTTGTAAAGGGGTTTGTCCACAGAGGGCAGGGGCGGCATGGACACGCCCCCCTGGGAAGTCAATATAAACACGAACAATGCCATAGAACGAGCTCTTGTCTTCTCCTGAAATCACTATCGCAACCTCCCTATCGACTCTGCGGCGGCACAAGTACGGGCCTCCAGCAACGACTGTGCCCGTCCGCATCGAGACTTTCCCTTTCAAGCAAACCTATTTTCTGGTTGGGATTTATGAACTCTTCATCACCAGCCGGCCCTGGCTCTGGACTCTGCGCACGTGACTCATTCCGGACTGAGTGTGCACGCCTGGATCCAAAGTTGGACTGCCGTCGCTGGCTTCATAATTCCCGCCTGCCCGGACAAAGAAACCACGTGGACGACATCGCCTCCACCCTATTCTTCATTCTCATCCTCCACTCCATCCTCATCCCAGTCACCCACCTCCCTCTACGCTCCTTCAAAGTAAGACTGTTCTTTGTTAAATGTGCGATTTGAATGAAATGTATGCCACTTCTGCTTTAATGTGACCAGAAATCCCCTTCGTTATATTTTTACCTTCATTTTTGTAATCAATAAAACCCTTTTCTTTAACTCAACCCCATCAGAGTCGTGTTGTTAGATCTCGGTATATCCCTGGCCGATAAAAGTACTCACTACCTATTAGATTCATAAGACTGATCGAGGCAAAGATTTGGTGTGTCTGTGCGCAGATTTCTAACTCTGCTGGTGCCCAAAATAAATAACACAGACCTGTTGGTGGAACGGCGAGCTCCCGCTCCGGAGACTAGCCGCTCCACGCTACCAAATTCATACTAAATTTATAACATAATCTGTAGTATTATTACCCTACATATAAGTAGTTACGCTACAGAATGTAAATGAGTGAGTGAATGGATGGTGTTGGTCGGGGGCTTTGATGCGGCAGTGTGTTTGGCGTCTCGCATCCGTCATCACCGAGTGTGTAGAGAATGGACAAATATCTGAACTCTGAACATTGTAAAGCGCTTTGGGTGATCTTGGTCTGTAAAATGAGGATCTAGGACACTCAACATACAGTAACATTCATGGACATTGGTCAACTCCCCCTACGGACCAATATCTACAGTGTGGGTTCTCTATTCTTTGTGTTGGACTCTGACTCTGTTTGATTCTCTGATCTGCGTTGGCAATTTCAATGGTTTTCTAAAGTCCTCTGAGGTATCTGTAACGACTGTCATGATTTACAAGAATACATTGAATTGAATGCTTAAAGATGGCTTACTTACAACTGCATCCTGACGGCACAAAGAAAAACCTTACTTGATAAAAATTCTCAATATTTTACCTGCGTCAAGTTGTCTTTGTCGTCTTGTGCCGTTTTAACCTGAAGCGTTAGTTCCCGCACAGACTCTTCTAGTTTTAAAACTTGAGTTGACAACGTTGCTTTTTCCTGAAACGCAAAAGAGAAACGTGACAGATATGAAAGTGCATGATATTATTGATTTAACTAACCAGACATGCTCGGCTTATCTTGTTATTGGCCTCCCTCAGTTGCTCCTGCAGCTCGGTGAGGTTTTGCAGAGTCTGGGTCAGTCTCTGGTTCAGATCCGTTGTTTGACTCAGCAGCGTCTTCTGCGTCTGTCATTGCAAACAAATAGCTTCAATGTGTTAAAATAAAGCACCGGGCAAATCAGGATGTTGAAAGATCAGACCTCTGTGGCGGTTTTTAATTTATGCATTGCTTGTTCACACTCCTCTTCTTGTTTTTTTGCTTTTGATTCGGGCTCTCGAAGCTCGCGCTTTAGTTTGAATATCTCCGTGTCAGAAGTATGTCTCTCCTAAAGCCACAAAAATATAAATATACAAATGAGAAAAGAGGGAAATCCCAGGGGCTCTTGACAGTAAATACAAATCCTTAAACAGGGACAAGACGGCTGTGGTTTGAATAGAATAAGTAACTGTCAGCTACACCACAGCATAACAACAACAATTTAAATACAGAAAATTAGAAAAGATGGATGCATGATTTCAGAAGACATCTTTGTGGGGATAATCAACTGGACTCACACTTATCGACCAGAAATACATAATAAATGATGTACAGTCACAAAGAAAATGTCATGCTGTACAGCTGAAGTGGAGCTCCAGAATAAAAAAAAAAGCCCTTTGTGCGGTGTAAGAAGTGCAGTTATAAAATACAGAACGATTGATCTCCTCATTGAGACCTGGAAGTATCATCACAGTCTGAGGGAGATGGGGGGACTGTCCGCCCTGAGGATGCTGTTACGATCTTAAACTATTTGCACTAATTATATTATAACTCAGAACTAAATAATGATAATAAATATTCCATCAGTGTAATTTCATTAAACCATGATTTCTGAGTAAATTATACAGTAGTTTAGTTAGATAGTACTGTATCGTGGCATGTTTGTGTGCCTTTAGAAATGATCCAATGTCACCAAATTGGACAAAATAATGTGAAAAGAAAATAATGTGAGACAAGAGGCACTTTTTAAGTTATTTTCTATATAATGTACTTTGATGAGAATGACTTTGTTTTGTTTTTAAAGGCTGCAGAGTGTTGGATCAGTTTCATTTATTGATGATCTTGGTGTGAATGTTTTCAATGAAAAAATGTACACCACGGCTCAAAATGTTTGGGGAACAATGTAATGGAGCTTTGTGATGTCATCATAAAACAAAATAAAGAGTCAAACTGAAATAATTAGCTGAACAAGTGTTTGAGTGACAGGGTGAGGGTGGAACATACCCTGTGTTTCAGGTCCAGCTGCGTTGCACTGTAGGGAATGCGCTCTCGGAGCAGGTCCATGTGGGGGTCCATCCTCTGCTGAGCGTCCTGGAGCCACTGCATCACTCCAGACTGTCTGAAAGGACTCTGGCCTCGTGCTGAGCGCAGGTCCGACGGAGGCGACGGGGAAAAGGAGCGTGGAGAGATGTTTGGAGCCAGCTGGGACAGAGACTGCCATTTCCTCAGACCTGAGTCAGTCTGTCTGAAACTCTCACCACCTCCAGATGAACTAGATGTACAGAACAATCCACACATTTATATATTATTCATCTAGGCCTATGTATGACAGGGATATTTTTGGCTAAAGAGGGGATTACAGGGATTGATGTAACATACAATAAATAATATGTAATCATTTAAACCATAATGGAGAAATTACAGAGGCTATGAGATAGTACTGTCAAGGTTCTAAAATAATTCTGTTTAGGGCAGTGGCATCAATATTTAGTATCTATTTAATCTCTAACTCGTGGCTGAGCTTTCATTTCCTGGAGAAAGTTATTTGGATTAAGGACGAAACATTGGAAAACCTTCAAACTGAAGTATAGATAATGGGTGAGCAGCCTTCCCTTTGCTTTGACCTACGACTGAGAGCTTACACTAAAGTATTTATTTACTATATATAATATGCAGTATACAAGTGAAAAATCATCCAATTACATTTTTTTTGTAATATAACTTAAAATGTGAAACCGATATGACATGTGGCAAACCTTCAATCTGTTGAATATGGCTTACAGTCCATTTTCAAAATACTCTTATTATCTGAGATTTTTTTTGGGATTCTCAAGCTGTGAGCCCTAACTATAACATTATAACAAACAAACAAAGGCTTAATATATTTCACTTTGCATTTAATGAGTTTGACATACATTAGTTTCATATTATGAGTTGAATTTGAGAAGTAAACAGACTTGAACAAAATCGTTTTTTGTTGTTTTACTACTCATCTTACCTCGTATTAACTTTGGACATAAAGCCGGACCCAGAAACTCTTGCCATGCCACTCCAAGCCGAAGACTATGACAAAAAAATAATGAATGTAAGGCCATCGTTCTTTTAGTGTATTGTGTATGAGTCTTACCTGGGCAGTGAGATTGGTGTCCCACATGTCCATATCCAGGAGAGAGAAAGGGCTGCTGCTTCTCTCTGGTCTATACATCTCTGTGCCCTGCTGTGAAAGATCCCCCACTCCTGTCTGCATCTATCCCCACCACAGTGCACCGTCACAGGGAGAGATTTTCACACCAAGGTGGCAGTTCAAGGCATGGTCCTATTCTTAGGCCATGTTTCAGCAATATTTCCATTGTTTGCCCCAGAAAGCAGTTGAAGACATGTACATTAATGCTTTTCTACATATCTACCATTCTGTATTCTGTCGAGGAGTCATCCATAATACATTCTGTAGACAAAGGTACTACACATATAGTACAGTAAACACAGCTTTAATTGCAGCTCTTGTGGCGGTGTCCATGGAGACCCCAGTACACAGGAGAATGTTGAGGGGTGTGTCACATTGTATCACACATTTGAGGCCTGCTTTATTAACACAACATCAACAATCAGAGGAAGCTGAAGTGGACGACTAATACAAATTCATTCTGTATTTATTGTTGAAAGAATGAGATTAATAGAATAATTTAGGTTATAGCACCAGGTCTAGACATAAAGTACAGGATTGTCTGCTGTGTCAAATGTCACATCGGCTGCACAGTCCGAGAGAAATGTCAAATTGCGATTTTTTCTTAATTAAGATTTACCATTTGATTTGCAACCTGTATTACATGAGCAGTTTTGAAGGACAGTTGGAAAATGTATACATAACATAATCAAAAATAGTCAAATATCCTCTGATTGCTTAATCTGAGCAGCAATCTTATTTTTTGAATGATTACTTTTCCTACTTCGGTGCAGGTCGTACACCAGATCAGATTGAGAGACTCCAGTCTGCTGCTGTCCAGTTTCCCCAAAACCGGTTCCCCAAAAGCACCAACACAGGGATCAACGCAAGGTCACCTGTCAATCAAAAATAGAGCCTATCCTGGAAGCTTTTGCACCTGCACTCCTACCCCAGGGCTCTGAGGTCAGTGTACCTCAGCTCGTTGGTGTTAAACAGGTTTTAAGTCCAGGACCCTCTGCGACCCACACAAGTCTAGACCTGCTACACTACACATTTGTTGTAAGTTTGTTGAAAGTTGTCAACCATCTCATCAACTGGTCCTGGAAGATATAGAAAGTGTGGCTTGCTCTGGTCTCCTATTGATTGACAGCTGTGAGACTGGTCTGAAAATGACCCACAACACAAGTTTGAGTCCGTATAACACTCTTCTTTGTCCCTGCTGAAAAAAAAGCAGCCCAAAGCATGATACTGCCCCATATTTGACAGAGATGATGCACTGAGGCTGATGCCCAGGGTTAGTTTTAAGCCATTCTTGTTTTGCATTTAAACTTCTTCACGACTCAACTTCCCCTTTGACGTCTCAAACTGAGAGCAGACCACACAGGTGGGCTTTAATGATTAGGGCAAGATGTGTGAATTAAATAACAAAATCATCATTTCACTTTCACTTCACTGTTGACCGACTTGTACCAGTGCTAAGGCACAGTATAAATGAAAGCCAACTGCTCCCTCAACAAAAAACTCAGCAGCATTCTAACGTGTGTTTGATGATTCATTGAAAACGACCCAACTGATAAAAGTGTGTTTTATTTGTTAAAATAAATACAATCTATTGTCCGTGTAAAGATCCATATAAAAGGACAACATGTTGGCCCATGGCTCTGGACACTGAGGGACTTTCATGCAAGAGATGCACTTTCACAAAAAAACAAAAAAAGGTGAAACGATCTTGACAGACAAAACTTCGCTTGCGACACATCAGACTACCACAATCATCCGCCAAGCTCGGCCTACAAGAGCCAACAGAGCGACTGGTTGTTGGTTCTCATCTGGTTTGTGTATCTCTGTCTTTAAGAGCTGTCTTTAAGAGCAGTCTTGTGAGCAGCAGGTGACTCCGGCTGGTTTCAGGAGAGGTCAGTGTGTATCAGGTGGATTATGCTGCCCGCTGACCTGGAGCATGTCCTCCAGAGTGATGTATCTGTAGTTGGGGGGTCCTAGATCCTCCAGTAACCGAGCATGATGCTGCCGAGAGCTGCTGATGAGGTGTGAGGTGAGGGCGAGCTGCTGCCTCAAGATTTCCATTAGCGGCCCCACAGAAAGACATGAGCCACCACACTCAGCTGAGGGAGAAGGAACATTTTACTTAGAGCACTTTGTTATTTTCTGACGGAGGAAAGGTTTCACTCCAAATGACAAAATACATGGACCAATTCATTCTTTCCTTTACACGCACCAATATACCTAGTTTTAAACAGCCCAAAAGAATCATGTTTCCACCCCCATGCTTCACAGAGGGTATGGTGTTATTTGGATGCAGCTTGGCATTCTTTCCCCACCAAACATAACAAGTTGAGTTTTTACAAAAATGTTTTATTTTGGTATGATCTGATGGTAGGACATTCTCCCAATCCTTGTCTGGGACTGAACCAAAGAACATCAGCAAGAATTTTGAGTGAAAACCTCTTTCCATCAGCAAGAGCATTGAAAATTGAAGTCGATATTCTGCGTTACTGAGCGAAAAGCCCATTGACCACAGCATGGAGGAATGGGTCAAAATACCAGCAATGGTATGTTTGAAATAATTTTTTGAAGACTTACAGAAATTTTTTGAACTCCGTCATTGCCAACCAAGAGTATATGACAAAGTATTGAGATGGACTTTAGTTATTAACTGAACTAAATAAATAATTTCAAAATCAGACATATAATTTTATGGACTTTTTTCTCATTTTGTCGATCATAGTTGAGGTAGGTACAGTATATGATGAAAATTACAGGCATCAACTTTATAAGTGGGAGGGAGTCTGAATCATATCATGCCTATTATTAAAGCCCTCTAGTCAAAACACTTTTACAAAAAATGACGTCGGCCTAACCAAGTCTGATTAACTAAAGTGGCCTTACTAAAAACTGAAGTTAGACTGACCAGAAACATGATGAGTCCTCCCAGTGTGTGTGGAGTCCCCCTGGGAGTGAGCCCTGGAGATGCGGGGTGGAGCTACAGGAGCCCGGTGCTCAGGGCTTCTGTCTCTGGTGACTGTTGTGGAGGAGGTGGAGGAGCTGGAGGAGCTGGATGCTGAGCGAGGAGAAGGGGGCACCATGCTGTCCTGGGAGCCCACCGAGACGCTCTCTGTGGGAACTACACTCTCAAAGTCACTGGGGTAGTCTTCTCCAGGGATGTCCTCTGGTACCTCCTCTGGCACCTCCTCTGGTACCTCCTCTGGCACCTCCTCTTCTGGCACCTCCTCCTCTGGTACCTCCGCTTCTGACACCTGGTCCTCTTCTGGTAGCTCCTGCCCTAGTAGCTCCTTCAAAACATACCAATTATGCCTTTACTCTGGTACATTTGGCATTAATGATTTATAATGTGAAATTATTCTAATATCTAAAGATACATTTATATAACATAAGAAAAGGATCTGTCCATCATTATAGTGAACCGTGTTTCAGACGGGAGAAGAGACAAAAGAGAACATGTGTCAGAAGAGCAACTTGCACTGAGTTATCTACAAATGTTTTAGTATGTTTCTCTCCCAATGTAAGAAAGAGCAACTACTTTACGAAGGATTCCTCAGACTGCTCTGGTTTCCCCCACGACAAAACCCAAACACCTGTGTGTTTGTGAGTGTGACTGAGGGACAACAGAAAATATCCTGAATGCACGCTGCCCCATACTACACACTAATAATATATTACAGCTTCACATTTCATACAGCAGTGTGGGTTATTTTCATTCCCGACATACTTTCCCTGGGTTTTTTTCTCATGAAGTTCTGACACAATGGGAACACAAGTGTTCACTAGCTTAGAGCGAAGATAAAACGCCATTACCTCTCCCCCGTTAGCCTCCTCCAGAGGCAGATCGGCAGGACCCAGGTCGTCCACGTCCATCAAATTGATTCGGAAGTCTGCGGAGGACACAAGGAAGGAAACTGTAAGGAGAAGGGACCGCCCCAGCCCCAATGTGACTAGAAATAAGATATTCCTTTATTGTTCTAGAATATGTTCTAGAACAGGGATCCCCAACTACATTGGCAAGTGGTTCACTAACTTAAACAGCTCAGGAGCCTAGGGTCCGGACATCATACAACCTGATAAAAAAAAAAAGTGATGCGGTTGTAGTAGAGTGTAATACACAGTACATAATCATAATTCTTAATACCCCAAAAACAAACCAGATTGTCATAGTAACAGTTGCCATAGTGATGGCCATAGAAACGGTTCCCAGTTATCACTATAGCAATAGTAATCACTATGGTAACTACCCTGAAAACAAACTCTCAAGAAAAGAGGCAAAGAGGTCGCCATGGTGACTATTGCCATTGCAACAGTTGCCATGGTGAATATTGCCAGAGCAACAGTTGCCGTGGCGACTACTGCTGTTGATTATCAGTGGTCTTGTCTGTCTTCCATTGCGAATAATTTCTCCCACAGTTGATTTCTTACATATTGCAAATTCAGTCTTCCCAGCCTGGTGCAGGTCTACAATTTTGTTTCTGGTGTCCTTTGACAGCTCTTTGGTCTTGAACATGGTGGAGGTTGTAGACAGGTGTCTCTCATACTGATACCTGTTTTAATGGCTCCTGTTTGAACTAGTTAACAAGTGGAGGACAGAGGAGCCTCTTAAAGAAGCAGTTACAGGTCTGTGAGAGACAGAAATCTGTTTGTATGATGGAAAATACTTATTTTCCATCATTATTGCAAATACATTCTATAAAAATCAAAGTGAGATTTTCTGGATTATCTTTTCTCATTCTGTCTCTCATAGTTGAGGTATACCTTTGAAAATTACAGGCCTCCCTCATCTTTTTAAGTGGAAGAACCTGCACAATTGGTGGCTGACAAAATTATTTTCCCCCACTGTTTATGTATCAAAATAAAACCAGGTAAAAATAAAACACACAATAAGTCCACACCAAATCCTATTTTGATGGTACAGTTTTAGCTTCGGTTCTGCACACACATTAATACAATCATCATTATTATTTTAGTCATTGTAACAAACACAGCGCTCTTTGTCTTACGTGCAGAATGGTCACTGTTGGACTCTCCTGATGCAGCATCCAGGGAACACAACTCCTCCAGGGAAAGCACATTCCCACAGACAGGAGACAGAGGGGGAGAGTGAGGGGCGGAGCCGGTAGAGGAGAGGGCCGGAGGGGAAGAAATAAGTGAAGAGTGGGACGAGAGCTGGTGTCTGATGTCCGACTCCTGCAACACAACACAAGAGGCTCATGCCAAAGTCTTGTTTAGATGATAGAAAATAAGGCGTCTGCCAACAACAGGAACAAAAATACTTGTTCCAATGTCAAATCGTCAAAAGAAACTTGAAATAAGAATTTATTTTTTGCTGAAATATAATCTCTTATGTTTGTACAGTCTTGCAAATTGCGGCTTTGATTCGATTGTGATCAATTGTGCAGCTCTAGTCAATGGTACGTTGAGCACATTGCACACATACTCCTTTAACTAAAGCGTCAGTCACCTCTGTTAAGCGTGTGCTGGGGGACACCACCGGCTCTCTTTTCGTGTTGAGACTTTTTCCAAAGCGCATTTCTGGCTCTCTTTTCGTGTTGAGACTTTTTCCAAAGCGCATTTCTATTTGAGCCAGTCTGCTGAGAGCCGCAGCCTGGGACAGCTGCACTGAAGACACTGCACTGTTCACCATCAAGAGACACAACAAACAAACCATTATCTTATTTTCTGACGATCAGACATGACAGGATTGAGAGAAATATGTACAAATATATTAAATGACTTCTGATTTCCTCTCAAGAATGTGTATTGTTAAGGAAGCTGACCAATAGTGTCTTTGCAATGGGTTTGATTGACAGCACAAGATTTGACCAATGTTATTTAGAATAATAAAGAACAGAGAAATTAGCCTAAAAGAATTTCTGACTCAGTAGCTGCACCTTTCTTTGGGCTGGTCCTGGGCAGCAGCGGGTTTTTTTAAGAAGCGTAAAGCCCCAGAGTCCGGAGAAGTTCGGTGAGGATCCACCTGTCAATTGAATCACACGTTTAGACCAGCAGAGACTGAGTGGAGCACGGTTCAATCACATCCTGATGGCAATTTGACATGATCCAATTAGAAAATCACACACACACACACAAGAAGCTAATTTGGACCACTGGTATCTGCTATATTGTCCTTTCAGTTATTACCCAAATCTTATGACCATAGGTGAGGCTGAGAACATAGATTGTGTTATTTCATTTTTGGCTTTCAACTCACATTTCAACCCAGTCTTTTGAGACTTTTTAGACAGATAAAGCTGAAGAAAGGAGATGGATCAATATGTTTTGTGCGTTAGTAAATTGTCATTCGTGGAATTAACTGCACATTAATTTAGGCCTAGAATGTGGGGCGTGACAATGTTACTGAGATCAAATCTGTAGGATGCGTCTAACTGAAAAGTGTAGCAGCTCAGTGCATGTGTGGCAGTTCTGTGAGTCTGAATTAAGTTGAAGAAAGGTTTAACACAAAACACTCCTGGACCCTGGACCCGCTGGGCACTCACCTGCTGCCTCCTAGGGCCCTTCTGGTTTGGGGTGCCCTGGTGTGGGCCCCTCATCCTGGTGGCTCCAGCACCAGAGCTGAGCGAGGAGAGATCAGAGGACTTCTGAGCTGCAGTCATGCCAGAGCCCTGAGGTGACAGAGCACGCAAACGTGAGAAGTGGATACAGAGATTACATTAAGAGGGTTTTCTTATTCACAGACCCACAGGTTTGAATGTCTGTTCTACAACCCCATGCCATACTGTGGAAGATTATTGCCAAATGAAACATGGAAACGAGCAGAAGGCGGATTAGCTGCTGCAGGGATATTCCACCCAGACTCACTTTTGTGTGTAAAAAAGCTTATCTGTTGTTGTGCTAGTGTCAAAAATTCAAGCATGCTGATGATGAGACGTAGGAACACGTATTACATCTATGTCTCATATAAGAATACGGATTCAGACATAGTGTGTGTCTCTGCAGTGTCCATACCCACGGTCCGGAGTGCTCAGGGGGGCCTTGGTCTCTGTGTCTGCGGGAGGACAGCATGGCCTCGGCTCGCTGCTGCTGCTTCCACATTATCCTGCTGTCCACCGTGCACTAATGTATTATGGTTGTTTTATGAGACAAATACTATCATCTCCCTATTCAAATGAATGCTCGCTATTACGAATGCACTCAAACAATGCATATAGCTTCTTGATTGAGTCGCGTTAACCATGACTATAACACAGTGCATATAATGGCTCCACCGTGAAACCATAGACACTATCATCAAGTGAATATATAATAATAGTTAACGCTTATCCAAACCATACACTGTATATTATCCAAACACGGAACACTGGTTTCCATGGAAGCACCAAGCACAGCTCTCCCTCTGCACGCAGAGCTCCGAGTGCACAGACAGCGCCGCCTGCTGTGCGGGCGCTGCCAAATGTACAAAAAAGATTAATTGTAATGAATATTGTGGATCATACGATTGCATATTGCTTATTTTACTATAGGGATTATACATAGCCTAATCCCAATTTTGAACTATTTTGGCCCTTCTTCATGAAGATTGTAGTACACATGAGTAACACTTTGTTGTACAAATCCCCAATAGCAGGAGTCGCCAACCTGTAGCCATAGACTGTAAATATTAAAGGAGCAGTATGTAAAAAATCTGGTCAAAAGTGGTACAGAAACCTCTCCCACTCTCTCTGACTCAGGTTGCCAGATATGCAGACAAATCCAGCTGGGACCATAATATTTGAACAGACAAGAGTCTTGTCAACAACAAATCTATAACCAACACCTTTTTCACAAAGGCCCAAATAGAATTTATTTTCTTTGTTTTGTCATTAATGATTTAAGAACCATAACGATAATTTGTTTTGCTCTACGGCCACATGTTACTTTACCAGTGAGATTAGCTCAACGCGTTGAGTTCTGGCGCCGGGATCACGGATTATCTGATTGGTAAAACGGTGGAGGGCGAGACATCGAAATTAAACAATATAAAGTTTTACAGGCTGTAAAAGTAGTTTTGAAATCCAATTATCCATGCTGAATTACTGTGATCCGTTACAGAAGTATGCGAAAAGAGCGTGGTTTATTAATGCCTTTTGACATATCAATGATAACTTTACATGAAAATCTTACATATTGCTACTTAAAGGTATATACTGTAGCTTGGGAGCCACCAGTAGCTCACCATACCCTACCAAGTGGCTCCCTAAAGGAAATTTCATAAATATGCTAATTAATTCACAATGTACGATTCACTGCCCACGTTTGTAAATGAAAACTAGTTGTAATAATTTAGAAATAATTTTATATAATTACAACTTCTTCAACAACCCCTGGACCAACAAAAATGTGTTTTCTATCATTGCATTTTTTGCCACATCTGGCAAACACTTGACTTGACTTATTGATGTACAAAAATTAAGGGATTTTTAATAGGATAGCCTTCATCAAAAAAAACACACAAATCCAAGGAGTTTGTGTCGAGTAACTTTGAATTTTTTTTAAAGTGTAGAGCTCATGGCCCGTTACCAGGTTTCCAGCCCAAGGAGGGTGCTTAAGGGTGGGTACCCGGGTCCAAGTGCCTATCCCTGGGGCCCTAATCCTAACTCTTTGGAGACAGCCTTCATAAAGCAGTGCTCATATTCCAGTCACTTTGAATCCAACATGATGTCGGATATGACACTTGCTGATCATTGTGTACTGGCCTGAAGAAGAAGATAGGTTCACTGTTGAAACCTTTCCAATAGCACACTTTTGATTTGACTGTTTAGTACAGTTAACTTTTTTCACATCTATTAGAATACTACATAGCGTTTGTCGTCATGGAAGCGAATAAAGCGGTACACTACAGCACACTGTACACCGTTTTTTATTGTTGGCCTTTGACTTGCACATTTATAACTAATAAGAATATACAGCAATTTCAAAGAAAACAAAAAAATTTCATCCACTTTCATCTTGAAAAACAGCACAAAAACCTCTCATCTTTCCCAAAAAATAAATGAATAAGAAAATAACCATTAGCTGCAGTTGTAGAACAAGCAGCTGATTAAAATAAAACACCGAGCCATTGGTCCACAAGGCGCAGATGGCCAATGTTCATAAATGTTAATAAGTGTTCATAAATGTCCTGGATCTACAGCCTCAGTCCTCCCGCTCCCGAGGGACCAATGACTCACATGCACCTGTTGATATTGCATTTCCTGTGTTTGATTCTCTGATCTGTTGTTGGTGAATCCACAAGTCCTTAGAGACAACTGCTGTTGTGATTTAGAGACACAAATGCATTGCATTAAATTGTAATAACCCAGTTCTGAACAAAACTGCAGGAGAGACATGACCAGAGATGGTAGAGGAGATTTGTCAGGTCTCTCCCCCCACTCTCCTCTATCCTCTATCTCCTCCCCTCCCTCTGAAGGCAAACTTTCAAATGAAACTCAACATTAAAAAAAACATGCCAGTCCTTGACCCAGAGAGGCATGTTCAGTTCAAAGGGGGCGTGGTCAGTCCAGCGCAGCATGCAGCAGCATATGACCTCCTGCCGATTTGGACTTCTTCATTTTGGACACCGCCCTCTGCAGGTCGCTCTGTGATATTGCACGAATGTCCTCACTGAAACATTTATGGAAACAAAGTCATATCATCAAGAAGAAACATTAACACTATTTCAAACCACAAAAATTAGAATAAAGTCATAAAAAGGGGAGCAGTATCTGCAGTCAGAGCTCCCTGTAATTCATTCTGTAAAGAACTCACTCACTCCCGCACATAGAATGTGTCTGGGAGCTCACATACTCCCACACACAGACTCACCTGTCGCTCCCGGAGCTCACATACTCCCGCACACACATCAGTGCGGCGTCTCGACACGTCTCTCTGAGGTCGCTGCCAGAAAACCCTTCAGTCTCTTTGGAAACTTCCTCCAAATCGACCGTTAGCTCCACCTGCAGGACACAAGTGAAATTCCATCATTGACGTTTCGAGATCTAAACCAACCATGGATCTATAATAATAACTAGATAGGGTATTACTAGCTTATAGCTGTCCCACCCATGGGCACAGGGGGCGCCCGTGTTACTGCAGACTAAATTCACGTGGGCTACCCAGAAAAAAGTCCCATAGAACTCGATGTAAACTAAAACAGCTCGACCTCATCTGACAGAGAACCTACAGCTTTCAGAAATATCGGATTTTGTGGGGATTTTAGTGTTCCTTGTCATCTGAACTTTTCTTCTTCTTAAATCTTTTTGTTTTCTTTTAATCCACACTTTACTGCCACAAACTCTGCTCCTTTCCTTCCCGCTCTGACTCCGCTCAGCAGCGCTGATTGGTCAAAGCGCGGCCGAGCCCCTCTGTGCACGTGCATAAGAGCCACACATCCGTGTTTGGCGCAACGCATCATGGGAGCTCGTCCACTGTGCAGAACCAGGAGGACCAGACGATGCCCAAATATAGGTAAGTTCTGCTAATCTCCCGGTCTCTGAAGTCCCATGCACTACTGAGCACAAGCCATTCATTTGAATAGGGCGCCATCTTGGATCAACGGGGCTTGAAACGGTCAGCACTAGATCATATACGGAATCGGGACGGAAGCGGAAGTAAATATAAAAAACTACCTATTCATGCCTAAACTTAACCAGACATTGCCATAAAATAACCCCAACCTAGCCTTAACCCTAACCTTAACCATCTTAATCAGACTCCTAAAACTTAACCAGTCACCACTTAAGGACTTTTTAGTCTAAAACTAATTTGAAAGAAGGATTGTTACTTCCGGTTTCGTCCTGATTCCGTATATGATCTAGTGCCGACCGGCTTGAAACCAACTGATTCATTGAGAGATCATTCATTGTTCAGTACATCTAGAATCTGCTTTCCTTCAGTTGTGTCCAGGTGTAAACAGGTGTAAATAAAATAAACAATAATAAACTAAATTAAACTCTTCACAAACCATCCGTGTGTGTGCAACATGCACGGACCATGACACAACTGAGGAATGAGTAAAGGATCTCCACATCTCAATCTACAGCCTCAGTCCTGCCTCAGCTCTACAAAAACTACAGCCTCAGTCCTGCCTCAGCTCTCCTGAATCTACAGCCTCAGTCCTGCCCCAGCTCTCATGAATTGACAGCCTCAAAGTGCTTTCACATCGCCGACGCTGGAACGCTAATGCCTCGTGCACCAGACGCACATTCTCTAATTTTCAGACGCAGGGGTCTTCACACCAGAAGTCCTGGGCTGCGGTGGCGCCCGCCTGAAGTGGCGGAAGTAGCCGGCGGACTTTGATGCTAACGGAGTTAAGCTAGCAGCTTTTTGTGTAAAAAGTTCTTCAATAATGCAGCTCTGCAGCGTCTTTATGTCCAGAGACCTTTCAGAGACTTTTATATAACAGCAGTATGTGTTCATGGAGGTGCGCCATACGTTTATTTTATTATTAAACTGTACTTCCACATCGGCCAACACGCTCGAAGCAGTTGCATAAAGTCACGGGAGCATGAAAACTCACATGTTCACAAGCACTGTGTCCCCCATTGTCAACCCTGGTTTAGTCCTGATCTAGCTCCTGTTTTGGCTGTTTACAGTATGTTCAGTCTGCTCGCTCAGTCCACTAATGTCCCCGTGACCACTTAGCGGCTCTCTGATTGATCGCTACACGAGCGTCCCGAGGAAACGCTTAGCAATATTCATCTCCAGCGTGCGTCAATTTTCCGCTGCTACGCCTCTGCCGCGCAGTCCGTGCGTCTCTACCGCACGGACTCTATCTAAAATCACTCCACTGGCTCCCTGTGGAGAACAGAATAAAGTTTAAAATCCTTCTCTTAACGTATAAAGCCATAAATGGCTTGGCTCCTTCTTATCTCCAAGACACGTCAGTGTCATATCAACCGAGTCGAGCGTTGCGCTCACAAAACGCCAGACGTCTGGTGGTCCCTAAGGTCTCAAAAATCACTGTTGGCGGCAGAGCATTTAGCTACCAAGCTCCTTTACTGTGGAATCAGCTTCCCATTTATGTTAAGGAAGCAGATACGGTCTCCACATTCAAGGCCAGGCTTAAAGCACTTTACTTTAATTTTTCATATAATTAGGTAAGATATAATATATATAAAATATAATATAATACTCATATATTATATTATATATTATACATTATTATATTATGTTTTATGTTATGTTATATTATGTATTGTGTTTATATTATATATATCAGCCATTCCCAAACTCAGTAACACCGAGGCCCCCTTAAAAATCTGACGGGTCTGCGTGGCCCCCCAAAATAATAACCAAGAAGACAACATTAAGAATAGGCTCTTCTGGTTATTTTATTTTGGGGAAATAGCCTCTGCTACAAACATTGTAATACAAAAATGATTACAGTGGATTATTCAAGTCAAATAATGAACACAAATATTTTAATATTACAAACAAAACATTATAAATTTAACATTAAATAATTATATTATTTGTTTTATTTTTTTTATGACCTCCCGCGGCCCCCCTGCAGTACCCTCGCGGCCCACCAGGGGGCCGCGGACCCCACTTTGGGAGACACTGATATATATATATATAATATACACGGCACGGTGGCTGAGTGGATAGCACTCTCGCCTCTCAGCAAGAAGGTCCTGGGTTCGAATCCCGGCCGGACCAGGGCCTTTCTGAGTGGAGTTTGCATGTTCTCCCCGTGTCTGCGTAGGTTTCCTCCGGGTACTCCGGTTTCCCCTACCACTAAAAATATGTACAATAGGTCTGGCATGCGCCTCCTGTACTGGCGACCCCGCTCCCATCTCTGTGTGGAGTGAGAGACAAATGCCCTAAAAATAACAATTGTAAACCGCTTTGTGACTCTGGTCTGTGAAAGGCGGTATATAATGCTTGCTTGCTTGCTTGCTTGCTTGCTTGCTTGCTTGCTTGCTTGCTTGCTTGCTTGCTTGCTTGCTTGCTTGCTATATATATATATATATATATATATATATATAATATGATAATAATTGTCTGGATTGGTTTGCACACTTGGTGTGCAATCCATGAATCTTGGTGCTCCTCACCTCCTCACCTCCTCACCTCCTTTCAGATACGCTCTCTTTATTCAAGGCTAGGTTTAAAACAGTCCTCTTTAGTTTAGCATATGGCTAGGAAGGCAAGACTCAGGGAAGGCTAAACTCCTCAGACTGTCAGTCAAGCTGCATAGGGAGTCAGTTTGCTGGGAGAAGTATGGTAACTTGAGCACTATCCTCTCCTCCTTCCTACTTTATCTGTTTAGCATTATTAGGATTTTGACTGTAGTTTGTTCATTGCTATTCACCCGTTGTCCCATTGTCTGTTTCATGGTACGATGACGGGACCTCTGAGCCTGGCCTCCTCCATCTACACCTGCAAACTGCCCCGCCCGACCCGCCTGAGAGTGCTTTGGTCCTGCACCGGACCTGTCCACGTTCAGCGTCCACTGGTCCACGTTCTGTAGCTAGCTTAGGTCCTAGATCATTAGCCTGTCCGTCCGGAGGAGCGGATCCCTTTCTCATATGGGTCTCCCTCCCTGTGGGTTTCCCTAGTTCTCCCCAAGGTTTCTCACTTTTTCCCACTGGGTTTTTTAAGAGTTTTTCCTTGCCGATGCAGGAGGGTCTTGTTGGACAGTTAGTGTCCAACAGAAAGGATTGGTGATGATCAGGACACTTTAGCATTCTACAACATGTATGGACATTTTCTTCTGTGTGTGCTTTATATTCTTCATGTGTTTTAACTGTTGATTCTCTGACCTGTGTTGGTGATTTCAATGGTTTTGTTAAGTCCTCTGAGATGACTTCTGTTGTGACTTAGGGCTATACAAGAATAAATTGTATTGTATTGTATTGTATTGTATTGTATCCAGAGACGCACATGCAGTTCGATGCTCGAACTCTCGTCACCATTGACTTTGCATTGAAAGTCGACGCAACGCAGGATCCGGTCTGAAAGCACCATCAGTCCAGCCCCAGCTCTCCTGAATCTACAGCCTCAGTCCTGCCTCAGCTCTCATGAATCTACAGCCTCAGTCCTGCCTCAGCTCTCATGAATCAACAGCCTCAGTCCTGCCTCAGCTCTGCCTCAGCTCTCATGAATCTACAGCCTCAGTCCTGCCTCAGCTCTGCCTCAGCTCTCATGAATCTACAGCCTCAGTCCTGCCCCAGCTCTTCTATTTTCTTCTACTCATTTGATAAGACAAATTATCAGATGTCACTCCTTGGTCCATTGCGGATGCCCGCTATGAAACACCTTTCTTTTGGTGGATTTTTGGCTAAAGTTTGGGCCGTGTCTCTGTGCACCTGTGGGCCATGGGGTCTTGTGTGAGCCTCGAGATGTTCTTTGGTAGATTTGGAAGGATTGTTTGTAATTTTTTTATTTTCTATATAAAACAGTTCAAATCTGTCTCAGTTTCAGGTTTGTCTTACCCAAACCCTAACCCTCAGCGGGTGTGTGTTTTGTAGATCATTAATCAAACTCACCCTCTCGTCGTCCAGAATCAGCTTCAGGATCTGCTCCCGCTGCTTCTGACTCTGCAACCAATCAGACAGCAACATTCAGACAGCCGATCAGAGAAGAGCATTGGTTCCTGCCCCCACCCCATTGTCATATGTACTTTCAGACCATATGGCCCTGAACTGCTGAGCTATATGGTTGTGAGAATACCTGTGTTCGGTGATAAAACTAAACACAACAAAGGACTTTCATGACAGCTTTTAATTTAATACGTTCCCAGTGTTCCTCGAGGTGAAAAGCAAAAACAGATTCAAACCACACACCTATCTTTCCCACTGTTGCACTAGGCCATTTTGCAGAGTAGTAGTAGTAGTAGTAGCAGCAGTAGCAGTAGCAGTCGTAGCAGCAGCCGTAGAAGCAGTACTAGTAGCAGTAGTACTCACTGGTTGGTTGATGTGAAAGCGTGTGGGCATCCGTCGCAAAATTGCAGAGTCCAGATCCTGAGGACGATTAGTGGCTCCCATGACAATCACCTGACACCAAATAAGGACACAACAGGAAGTGAGGCCAGTGACAGAAGCAGTCAGCCTCTCGTCTGTCCAGTTTGTTCCAAAGAAGCAGCAGTATTAGTTAGGGTTAGCAGTAGTGACTGCAGTAGTAACAACAGTAGTGACTGCAGCAGTAACAGCAGTTGTACTAGCAGTACTCATACCTGGCAGCTGTAGTCCGTGTCCAGTCCGTCCCACAGACTCATAAACTGGGCTTTCATCATGGCTGTGGCCTCGTGATCAGAACTCGAGCGGTTACGAAGAAATGAGTCTAAAAATACAGGTACAGGGAGTTATACAGGGACACACACACACACACAAACACACACAGAGACACACACACCAATCTCGTCGATGAAGATGATGCTCGGCTGCAGCTTCAGTGCGAGGGAGAAGACAGCGGCTGCGAGTTTCTGTGATTCGCCGTACCACTTGTCCGTCAGAGTGCTGGGCTGTAGGTTGATGAAGCGAAACCCGGCCTCCTTTGCCGTCGCCTTGGCAATCAGGGTTTTCCCACAGCCAGGAGGTCCATACAACAGCACCCCTGGTGGCATAAAAGGAGAGTGCACTGACACAAACTGCAGGGTAATGGTTCGGCCTATAGAGGGCGCAGGTCTGACTCACAGGGAGCTGATGGCCGTCAAATCACAGCTAAAGAGGGCTTTATGGGCGTTCAGACCAGATCATGCATTGGGGCAACTTTCAATGCAAAGTCAATGGTGACGTCTGTTTGAGCGTGGAATTGCATGTGCGTCGCGGCACGCAGGCTTGGACTGCGTGGCAGACGCGGTGGGTACGTGGACTAGATGCATGCAGCGAAAGCAAGAGATAAACATTGTTGAACCAATCAGAGAGCGGCAAAGTGGTCATGCGGTCACTAGCGGTCAGAGCAAGAAGACTGAAGATACTTGTAAACTGCTAAAACAGGAGCTAAACCAGACGAGCACCCCCTTCAGTTGAGCACAAAGAGAGGGCCCTTGCTAGTTCTGTGGCAATAAGACTTTCTCTTTAGATAATGATATGCCTTTGTGGGCAGTTAGTGTCCAACTAGAAGGACTGTGGTGATGATCCAGGACACTTTAACATTCTACAACATGTATGGACATTTTTCAACATGTGTTCTATATTCTTTATGTGTTTTAACTGTTGATTCTCTGATCTGTGTTGGTGATTTCAATGGTTTTGTTAAGTCCTCTGGGATGACTGCTATTGTGATTAAGGGCTATACAAGAATAAAATGTATTGTATTGTATTTGTATTTTGTTTTATGCCATTTGAAAAAAAAAACAACATAATGAATAACTTGTATTGTTAGACTTTATGTTTCATATAGGCTCCAATTAGTCAAGATTGTAAATTGGCTGAATCCCCTTTTTCTAACTCTCCAAATATATTCCTAAATCTACTTTTATTTACTAAAATAAAACACTCAGTTTGAATCAGGATACATCATGATCAGGTGAATATTGAACTGAATCATTGTTTGTTGAAGTAACTCAAATCAAGATTTCAGATGTGAACTGATTTGGACAGAGATCAATAACTCACAGTGCTCCAAAGGGCCGCTCAGGGATTTTGTGTTTTTGCTGAGACCCATTAAAATTATAGGGAGCATTAGTTCAGTCTGGTCCACATGGGTCTGGCCTAACCTGGTCCAGTCTCACCTTTCGGTGGCTGCAGGAGCCTGGAGCGCTGGAAGAGGTGCCTCTTCTGAACTGGTAAAATTACCGTCTCCTTCAGCTCGGTGATGACCTCATCAAGTCCTGCTATGTCCCGCCAAGTGATCTAAGACCAGAGAGGGCAACCAGAAGCAGGATCAGAGACAGGACCAGAGGGAGGGAGACCAGAGACAGAGACCTAAGTGATCAAAGACAAAGACCAGAGAAAGCACTGCGACAAATCTAGGATTGTTCAGTGTGCAGTGTGTTTTCCAACAGTAGATCCACCAGGTGTGTGTTTACCTGCATGGTCAGTGGGTCCACCAGGTGAGCCGCAATACTCATCTCATACTCAGATAACTTCACATTTTTCACTCCAATCTGCTTCATCAGTTTCTCTGCCTGCTTCTGAGCCTCCACCTTCTGCTTACGAGTTGGGTCTAGGGCGTCCACCATCCACTTTATGGTGAAGTAGGTGACGGCTCCGAACACCGTGAGACGAAACAGGAGCCCAATGACCTCAGAGCGACCCAGGGGGCGAGTGACCTGCTCCACTGGGACCTCCCGGAGAACCATCTGTGGACAGGGTTAGCATTAGCCAACACTTAAACATAACCGGAACCTCCAGGAGAACAATCTGTGGAACTTGTAAATAACACATCTTTAAAGCTGGGGGTCGTAACTCTAGTCTCATTAATAACACATTTAGTCTGTCCGACAAGTAACTTGTCATCATCTTATTAGAAAACATCTGTATTAGAAAGAGCCCTGTGAGTCACTACTCACTTTAGCTCTTGATTGGATGAGTGAGGGTGGTCCTTTCCTTTTCTGAAAAAGATTATCTAAAGATGTGACAGAGGCTGAAAATAATTATGTGAAAACTAGTGATAAAAGCAAACTGTTAGAGACATTTATTACAGAGTTCTATTGTGGTCTGAAAGTTACAGACCCCAGCTTTAACCATACCATCTTTTTACCATAATATTCCTAGTGTAGAATATGAAACCGTAACCAGACAGACCTGGTCTAGCCAGTCCATTCGAACACGGCTGTTTTTTCTAACGCCTCATTCTGACAAAAAGATGCTTTCACTTTTCGTGAAACATGACTGCACGTGACATAAACCGGTTATTCCGTGCGTCCCCAGACCCGAGAGGAACTGCGTCTCATTTACGTCAGTCTGCGTGAAAGATAACGCGTGGTTTCGATTTGACTGGGACATTTCAGGAGCTCAGAAACAATAGTTATAGATATGACATCCGGCTTTTCCACGGTGTAAAAAAAACCGAATCACGTAAAACACCAAAATCATGTGCTACACGAAGGGACTTTGGAAAATAAACTTTATTTAAGTTATTAATCACAACATAAATTACATTTCTCTACATTTTTAAGGCCGTCTGGCGCAACACTACGTCAAACACAATACGAGCACCATAGGGTTCCACTCATCAACAGTTCGTTGGTTAGGAGGCTGTCACTGTTGTTACATTATCCTTATTCTGCAATTTAAATGGCTTTAACTCTGTTTACCACATCTGGCGTTAGCGTTAGCATTAGCCTCGAAGTGACCTTCTGCGGTACCGCTGCTGTCTTGTAATATGACTGGGACCGGTGGCCTGGTCCGAGGTCTGGTTTACCAGGACCCAGGACCGTCCACAGACTCGCTCTCAGAACCGATAAAAAAGATCTGGATCACGGCAAAAACAGCGGAAAGCTTCAGAAAAAGTCACTTACCTCCGCTTGACTAGGAGTACTGCAGCCAAAACAGCGCCGCGCAGGACACATGGGGAACTGCAGCTGTCACTTCACACAGCCTCATGTAAAGAATGTAGTAACCGTTATTATAAGAGATCCATGGTACTAACCAATAACCAATACAGTCAATACACGATATATATGTGTGTAATAAATAGAGGTGGGTGTTACCCTGTCATTTATACTCTACCCTTCGTACTTGTGTATGGCGTGCATTAATGTGTAGCTCAGAGTTCAGAATTCTGAACAATTCTGATTCTGAAAAAGACAAATAAATGCAGGACCCAGCAGCATTACGGGAATCAAAAAATGTTTATTTACATGAAACATTCAGTCATAAGAGACTGTGCTGAAATAAGGAATTACTGAGCACGCTCACTTTGATGTCATCAGTGTCTAACTCAGTGTTCAGAGCATTCCCAATGCAAACTCTGTGTCAGAGTTCTGAGCATGCTCAATGCGGACTCCGCGCAGCCGTCAAAGTTAGAGTGGGTGAAGGCGTCGCCACCCAACAGCAGCAGAGGGTCATCTGCAGCAGTCATGTGACCAGGACAACCAGGAAGTGATGTCAGCACCTGCAACAGAGAAACAACTCTATCCGCTTCAGTCATGTCCAGTTACAGCTCTTCTATCTGCTTTTTTCTCTGGGCAGTGTAAAGCCCCGTTCCAATTCTCACCCGAGCCCTTAATTTGTACCCTTGCCCTATATACACCCACAGGAGGTGTAGGGTGTCTGTCTCTGTGTGTACGTGTGTGTCTGCGTACGTGTTTGTGTCATAAAGTCTTGTCTGTGGTGAAATCAGACATGTTGAAGTTGCGTGGAACACGTTTGCTGGGTCAATTTGCAAACATAGGGGCGTCCCCTAGATGGGTGTCCCATTTCTTAGGAAGAATATCAACAAGTGCACTCCTCTATTGGAAGGTTCTAGTGCCCTCAGAATTGGGACGTGCCCTAACTGTGGAGGAGGTGTCTTGGGAGGGTGAGGGGAGAAGGTGGGGCTTACCTGGGAGTACCTCCACTTGTGTGTCTTTATGTTGATTGGCTCAGGCAGATCAGGGTGAAGTCTGCGCAGCTCGTCCATCATCAGGGACTGGACCTGTGCCAAGTCTGATTCCAAGAACTCAGACCCAAAATCAACGCTGGAGTGGACCACAAGAACCGGGCCGAGACCTGCGCCTGAGGGAAGAAGAGCCATGACTCATGGGAGGAGACCTAAGAATGAGGAGAGGAGACCCGAGCCTGAAGAGATTCAATACAAGGACTAAAGCAGGACTAAAGCAAGACAAAAGCAGGACTGGACCAGGACTTACCGGAGCCTCTCTTCTTCTGCTCCACGCTCACATAGCGGATGAGTTTGCTGTCTGTGACATACTTAAATCCGAAGTCCAGGTTCAGGTCTGAGTCTCTGTCAAAAAACAGAGCAAGAGCAAAGCGCGACGAGTACTGGACCTGGGAGAGCGCCCCCAGCTGCTCCGGAGACAGTACTGTAACACACACACACACACATCCCGCTGGTAATAATACACACACCTTCTGCTGGTGAAAAAAACAGTTCTACAACACATACAATTATGGGGGTGCCGCACTGGTCTCATGTTGGTCTCAGTTGCAGTATTTGAGGTTTGCGTCAGCAGCTGAGTGCTGGTCTCAGCACTGGTCTCGGTACAGGTCCTGGCACGGGTCTCGGCTGAGTGAATAGCACTCACTTCTCAGCAAGAATGTCCTGGGTTCAAATCCTGGTCGGAACGGGGCCTTTCTGAGGGGAGTTTGCATGTTCTCCCTGTGTCTGCGTAGGTTTCCGACGGGTGCGATAGTTCAGGGTGAAAAAGTGTGTGGTTGTGAGTACAAATGAGGGACAACGGATGGAAATTAGCCCAAGGCTACAATCCGGAGTGATGTGTTCATCAACGTGTACTGACACAGCAAGCCCGGGTGATCCAAGATGGCGCCCTATTCAAATGAATGGCTTGTGCTCAGTAGCTCATGGGAATTCACGGAGACCAAAAGATTAGCAGAACTCGCCTATATTTGGGCATCGTCTGGTCCTTCCTGTTCTGCGCAGTGGACGAGCTCCGATGATGCATTGCCCCAGATACGCGTGCGTGGCTTTCATGCACGTGCGCAGAGGGGCTCGGCCACGCTTTGACCAATCAGAGCTGCTGATCAGAGCAGCAGGAGAGCGGAGCCAAAGCGTGAAGGAAAGGAGCAGAGCTTGTGGCAGTAAAGTGTGGATTTAAAGAAAACCGAAGAAAAAAAGTTCAGGATGACAAGGGACACTAAAATCTCCACAAAATCCAATCTTTATGAAAGCTGTAGGTTCTCTGTCAGCTGAGGTCGAGCCGTTTTAGTTTGCATTGAGATCTATGTGACTTTTTTCTGGGTAGACAACGTGAATTTAGTCTGCAGTACCACGGGCGCCCCCTGTGCCCATGGGTGGGACAGTTTATAAGATAGTAACACCCAATCCAGTTATTATTATAGATTAGGGGTGTGACGATATACATCGATTTTTCGATATATCGCAATACTTTCTCCCGCGATTCGATTATCGATATGCATTTGCCAAGTATCGATATCGATTTTGAAAAAAATAAAATAAAATAAAAATGTTATATATATATATATATATATATATATATATATATTTTTTTTTTTATTGGTATCAATACTTAATATATGGCTACATTACGCATCTCCATTCTATTTATCATGAAATAAAGAGTATTTTTTCTTTTATTTATGCCATAAATTGGCATATTGTATATTTCTGACCAATAATCGTCTTAAAATCGTTATCGTAATATCGTTATCGTGATATTATCGGTATCGTGAGCTTTGTATCGTATCGTATCGTGAGGTACCCTTAGGTTCCCACCTCTATTATAGATCCATGTGTCACAGTCACAAAAGTTGGCTCTTGGCTAATGATCACACATACATTTCAAAATTTCACTACTGGTCTCGGCCCTGGTCTCGGCCCTGGTCTCGGCCCTGGTCTCGGCCCTGGTCTCGGCCCTGGTCTCGGCCCTGGTCTCGGCCCTGGTCTCGGCCCTGGTCTCGGCCCTGGTCTCGGCCCTGGTCTCGGCCCTGGTCTCGGCCCTGGTCTCGGCCCTGGTCTGTGTCCAGGTCTATGTCCAGGTCTATGTCCAGGTCTATGTCCAGGTCTATGTCCAGGTCTCACGTTGGCTGAAGTTTTTCAGTTGCAGTATTTGAGGTACAGGGATGGTCAGGACCACGGCGTCGAAGGACTCTCTCTGACCCTCAGAAAACTCCACTTCCCATGATGCACCTGTGCGCTGCACTGAGGTCACATGACGCTTTAGATGCAGCTCTGCCTCTGTACACAGGAAGGGGCAGAGTTACAAATACAGACCATATAGAGGACATGGTGCTCTCTCTCTCTCTGGCCTCTCTCTCTGGCCTCTCTCTCTGGCCTCTCTCTCTGGCCTCTCTCTCTGGCCTCTCTCTCTGGCCTCTCTCTCTGGCCTCTCTCTCTGGCCTCTCGTTGTATCGTAGCTGGGGTGAGTCACCTGAGCTGTGGAGGAAGTGCTTGACAATCTGGCCGGTCCCCTGTGGACTCACAAAGTCCTCGGTTGGTTCTTTATGCCGCAACCCGAGCACTGAGCAGCTCATGGGCACCAGCACGCCAGCGGACAGCAGCTCCTCATACAAACTGAAACACACAGGCAGAGGGAGAACATGCAAACATCACAATATTCTGTACAACAGCAGGTTGCTTTGCATTTGCTCTCTGTAGTCATTTATGCAAGATCTCTCTGTGCTTCTGTAGTCCAGTTTGCATGCTCTACCTGTGATGTCTTCTCCTGTAGTCTTGTGTCGCTGTGATGTACTGAGCTCCAATGTCGGCATTGAAACAGTCGTCACGGAAACGAGATGTCGACATGCGGCCTCCTGTAACACACATGTAGTGAGCACTAGCTGTGCATACAACTGAGGGCCTTTCTATTTTATATTTCTTTTTAATGTACTGTGATTATGTATGCTTGCCTTGCAACTTCATCACAATCACCCCCCTCCCCTCTGTGGTACACTACACACACATCCCACCTGTGGAACACACCTCCCCCTGAAGGACACACACTTCCCACCTGTGGGACACACACTTCCCACCTGTGGGACACACACTTCCCACCTGTGGGACACACACTTACCACCTGTGGGACACACACTTACCTGTGCCACGTGATTTGTCCCACACCTCAATGTGGACTCGGTTCTGAAGCGCACGTCTCAACAGACATGCACAGAGGCTCCCCGTGAGCCCCGCCCCCACGATGAGCACGCGCAGCATACCGGAACAGACGCGGAATGACCAGAATGACCCGGGTCACCGCGGGACTGCAGTCTCTGAAGTGGTCTGGTCTCCGGGTCCGAGTCTGGTCGCCTGGATCTGTGTCTTGGTCCGGGTCCGGGTCCGGGATCTGGGGTCTGCGGTCTGCGGTCTGCGGTCTGGGTCCGGGTCTGGTCTCCGGGGTTAATGCATGTTACTGATGTCTGAGGTTATGAAAGCTGCACAGTAAAAACAATAAAAGACGCAAACAAACGCGACCGCATCCAGTTTGACTTTCACAATAAAACATTTTCACGATGTCATTAAAGGATCATCAAATGCACATTTGGATTGCATTCAATCTATTTATAAATTAAATATACATCATGAACCAAAAAATCACGGACAACTATATAATTTAATACGTTTTGTGTTTTAACCAAGTTTTAACCATAGACTGTATACGTTTTAACACGTTTGCAAACTTTCTGTCTCTTTACGCAAAAGATTCTATCTGCCAAATGTGACATGGAAATTTCACGATTGAGAGATCAATAAAGTTTAGCTTAGCTTATCTTATTTGATTACAGTTTGTGAACGAAACTGCGTAAGCGTGACACTAAGCTTGACGAATCACAGAGCTCGCTCTCTCTGACGTCACGGTTCGTATTCGGTGTTTACTTCCTCGTTACCGCCTGACCCTTGTATTTCTGCAGAGTGAATAAAGTGACAAATACACGTGAGGAGAGAAGTGAGCCACAACGTTCCCTTTGTACTATATAAAAATACTACGTATGTATACTTATATACCATAATATATAAGTGAACAAAGTGATCCTCGTCAAGAACTGCGTAAAGAGCGAGAGGTGAGCCACAACAAACGACCCACTTTAAACTGTTTTATAATTACTAAATACTTATATATATAAGTAAATACTTATATATATATATATATATATATATAAAGTATATATAAGTGAACCCAGTGACAGTGCTGATCCAGTCTCAGTCACGGAGCAAAGAGCAGAGTTTACCTTCTGTTCTAAATCCACTTAGAATCCATAAAAACTCAGTGAAACTCCACAAAGTGTCATGTCTTTGGCTACACTTTAGTTTCATATGTGTAGTTTGTCAGTAAATATATATGTATGTATGTATGTATGTCTCTGTCTGTCCGTATGTTCTTTAAAAGTTTCTCTCGAATGAACTTTCAACGTCATGTGACAAGGAGCAGTCGATGTGGTAATCATAATAATAATAATAATAATGATAATTAAATTAGTATTTTTATTTTTTATACTGATGAACACAAGAGAAGCAGACAACAAACAGCTACAGAATAAATGTGTATTAACAAAAATCCTTAAAACAATCATCTGATTTGTAATCACAATTTAGTCACTTATGAATATTTGACCTGACAATAGTGAGTACTTTTTCACATAGATTTATAGTATATTTGAATACATTGAATAATGACTGAATACATAAGCATAAGTATTAAAAAAATATTGTTAAACCAATAATAACAGACCAGGAGACTGTGGGAGTCATTCTTCATAACCGTGTTGTGTCTTTCACAGATGGACTCTGCCTGTCTCCTCCTCCTCATCATCAGCCTCAGCTCCTGCACAACTGCTGCTCCTCCTCCTCCTCCACATCTGGACCCTGAAGTCCACATGAACATAGTGAGATTTCTCTATAAAAATAGAAATAAAAATAAAAAACATGTCTCACACTTAGAACACAGAGGTCCTGTGTTCTAAATGTGAGACATGTCAGGTGCGCTCTAAAGCAGCTCTAACCTGTGCTACAGTCGGAGATGATCCGGTACTGGGGGTTCCCGGCTGAGGACCATGAGGTGTTGACGGAGGATGGCTACATCTTGTCACTGACCCGTATCCCCTCTTCCAGCAGGGGGAGCTCTGGAGGCGAGTCCTGACCAATCACACTGTTTTATACTGGGGGTGGGTAGTCTTTTTTTTTACATTGGGGGTGATCTCGCTTCCATTTGTGGGGGTCTTTCTCTCACTTTGGGGGTGGTCTCTCTCTTACATTGGGGTGGTCTCTCTCTTACATTGGGGGTGGTCTCCCTCTTACATTGGGGGTGGTCTCTCTCTCACATTGGGGGTGGTCTCCCTCTTACATTGGGGGTGGTCTCCCTCTTACATTGGGGGTGGTCTCTCTTACATTGGGGGTGGTCTCTCTCTCTCACATTGGGGGTGGTCTCTCTTACATTGGGGGTGGTCTCTCTCTTACATGGGAGTGGTCTCTTATATTTGAAGTGGTCTCTCTCTTACATTGGGGGTGGTCTCTCTCGCCCACAGTGGTCCTATTGCAGCACGGACTTCTAGCCGCAGGCAGTAATTGGGTCTCCAACCCACCCGAGTCGGCCCTAGGGTTCTTTCTGTCGCAGAGTGGGTTTGACGTGTGGCTCTCCAACAGCAGAGGGAACACCTGGTCCAGGAGGCACCGGACTCTGAGACCAGACCAGAGAGAGTTCTGGGCCTTCAGGTACCAGAGACCGGACCAGAGACCGGACCAGAGACCGGACCAGAGACCGGACCAGAGACCGGACCAGAGACCGGACTCCAGGCCCAAACTAGGCTGAGACCAGAGATAGGGGACCAGAGACCAGACTCCAGAGGCCAGACCTTGGACCAGTGATACCATGTGGTCTAGAGACTGAAGGCGGTGTGGCTTCTCTCATGTTGCATTTTTTTTCAGTCACGATGAGATGGCCCTGAGCGACCTGCCGGCAACCATCCACTACGTCCTGAACGTCACGGGCCAACCCCAGCTCTACTACATCGGCCACTCCCAGGGCACAACCATAGGTAAGACCTTCCCCTTCCCAGACCCCAGAGACCATGGGTAAGACCTTCCCCTTCCCAGACCCCACAGACCATAGGTGAGACCTCCCCCTGAGACAATAGGTGAAACACAGAATGATCTTGTTTTCCTTGTGATATGTGTTGTTTACTTGTTGTTGACAGGGTTTATGTCCTTCTCGTCGCTCTCGTCCGTCGCAGACAAAGTCAAACTCTTCGTGGCTTTGGCTCCTGTCGCCACCGTTGCCTTTACTCAGAGTCCGATAACCAAAATGTCCGTGTTGCCCGAGTGCGTTGAATGGGTAAGACCAGGAATCACACCAAGACCATAGAGAGGCCAGTAAGGCCAGGAGCAGAGAGAGAGATCAGGATGAGAGAGAGACCACAGAGACCACAGAGAGACCACAGAGAGACCACAGAGAGACCACAGAGAGACCACAGAGAGACCACAGAGAGACCACAGAGAGACCACAGAGAGACCACAGAGAGACCACAGAGAGAGACAAGAGAGAGAGACAAGAGAGAGAGACAAGAGAGAGAGACAAGAGAGAGAGAGAGAGACCAGAGAGAGAGACAAGAGAGAGAGAGAGACCAGAGAGAGAGACCAGAGAGAGAGGAGAGAGATGAAATATCATTTTAATGACTGTTGTGTCTGTGATTGACAGGACCTGTTTGGGAGGCGGGACTTCCTGCCTCAGAGTCACATAGTCGAGTGGTTTGCAGAACACGTTTGTACGAAGCACAGCGCCCTCTGTGGGAACCTGTTCTTTGTGCTGTGTGGCTTCAACCCGGGCAATATCAATATGGTGAGGGTCGCTGCTGAGGGTGAGGGTTATGGCTGCCAATACTGCTACTACTGCTACTTTTACATGCATACCTGTAGTACTAATCTTGCAGTACTCTTTTTACCTCAGACCCGGACCCCCGTCTACACGACCCATTGTCCTGCTGGGACTTCGGTGCAGAACATGATCCACTGGTCCCAGGTAAGCTTCGTCTCACATACAGACCATGGTCCACTGGTCCCAGGTCAGTTTGTTCATGATCATTTACACATGTGTAAATTGGTCTCTCTCCATGGAAACAGGCAGTGAAAGGCGGGAAACTCAGAGCCTTCGATTATGGGAAACAAGGAAACGAGGAGCACTACAACCAGGTAAAAGTACTACTACTACTATGGGCGGCATGGCGACTGAGTGCATAGCACTCTCACCTCTCAGCAAGAAGGTCCTGGGCTCGAATCCCGGTCGGAACAGGGTCTTTCTGAGTGGATTTGCATGTTCTCCCCGTGCCTGCGTAGGTTTCCTCCGGGTACTCCGGTTTCCCCTACCACTAAAAACATGCTCACTAGGTTAAATCCTCCATCTCTGGAGATTGGTTCCCTGGCTACGACGACCACTGCTCCTGACCTAAGCCTTCGCGGCATCAGGATGGGTCAAATGCAGAGAATGAATTGTGCTACGAGGATTAATAAAGCGCACATTTACCTTTACTACAAGTACTACTAGGCAGGGCACGTTTGTATGGCACTGTTCATACACAAGGCAACTCAAAGTGCCTAACCAAACAAGATAGAAACACTCACTCAAGGCTTTGAATAATCACAGTACATTAAAAAGAGTGAAGATAAAATCCTTCAGTTGTATGCACAGCTAAACAGAACTATTTTTAACCTGGATTTGACTATTGTCAGAGAAGACTTGCATTTTCAGGAAGACTTTTCTATGCTTTAAACAGTGTTGGTCAGTAACGTGATAAAATGGAAGCATTGCTGTAATTCAATTACTTACTCTGAGTAATAAAAAAAGTAATGTAATTACATTTACTTTCTTCAAAGCGAGCAGCGTTACAATGCGTTACAAAACCGTGAGTTGCCACGTGAGAAACAGACACACATCAAACGTTACAGACTGTAAAAGTTACACGCGGCGACATGAGCATGATAACGAGGACGACCACGGAACATTTCATTCATGGAGAGACATGCATTGCTTTGAGTTTGAGGCGGTAAAAAGTGACAAAAATATCAGCGTCCTCCGTAAACTCTGCGTGTGAAGAGAAATATTATTCACAGCAAAGAATCAAACCTAAATAAGCACCTAGCAAACCAGCACCGATGGCATATACTGGTTGCCTCACTTTTGTCAGTGTGCCCCAGGGCAGCTGTGGCTACAGTAGTAGTTTATCACCACTGTGTATGGAGTGAATGAATAATGACATGTAAAGCGTCTTTGAGTGTCCAGAAAAGCGCTATATAAAACTGATGCATTATTATTATTATTATTATTATAAGAGACTTTATCAATTAAGTAGAGACAGTATTTATTTAATAAGGCTCCATAAAATCTATAAAGAGTTGCACATTAAAATGGCAGACAGCCATTATTCTCTGAGCCAAAGGGAATCCCGTGCAGAGACCTGAGAACAGGACTAATGCACTTGCACTTCCTGGTTCTTGTCAGGACTCGAGCTGCAGCATTTTGAATGTACTGCAGCTGTTTACATTCGTTTGGAGAGACCCGTGAACATGCTGTCACAGTAGTCTACCCTACTGGAGACAAATGTATGGATGTCAAGCTGCATGTTCCTCTGCAGTCAGTGAGACCTTGATCTGAGTGTCATTAAAAGGACTGTATAAGTGCTTGTTCCACTGTGATATCCACTCTGGAGTGCTGGTCAGGACACAGGAGACAGGATGCATATTCAGGCGTCTTTAACCCTTGTGCTATCCACGTTTAAGATAATCACACCACAGGGATTAAAAAATTTGTTAAATATGTTTTTTGAGCTACATTTTGATGGTTTTGTCCTACCTTGACCAGCCCTGGCTCATTTACATGTAATTGACCCAAACATATACTATGGTGTTTATCAAGAGAAGTGGTCACCATAGAAACAGCGCCCGGGAACCAAGCCCCGGTGATCCAAGATGGCGTCCTATTCAAATGAATGGCTTGTGCTCAGTAGCGCATCACGGAGACCGCAAGATTAGCGGAACTCGCTTTTATTTGGGAATTGTCTGGTCCTCCCGGTTCTGCGCAGTGGACAAGCTCCCATGATGCGTTGCACCAAATACGTGTGTGTGTGGCTCTCATGCACGTGCACAGAAGGGCTCGGCCGCGCTTTGACCAATTAGAGCCGATCATCAGAGCGGAGCTAGCGCGGGATCTAGCGCGGGAGCTAGCGCGGGAGCTAGAGCGGGAGTTAGAGCGGGTGACAAAGAAGTAGAGTTTGTGGCAGTAAAGTGTGGATTTAAAGAAAACCAAAGGATTTAAGAAGAAAAAAAGTTCAGGATGACAAGGGACTCTAAAATCCCCACAAAATCCAACCTTTAAGAAAGTTGTGTTCTCTGTTAGCTGAGGTCGAGTTGTTGTTTGCATTGAGTTCTGTGAGGAAAATTTCTGGGTAGCCCACATGAATTTAGTCTGGTTTAGTCTGCAGTACCACGAGAATCCTGCGAGCACATGGGTCCTTCAGCTCCAAGCTGGTAATACCCTATCCAGGTATTATGATAGATGCCGGGAAACCATCTCCAGATATTGATGCCCTTGGTCAGGAACGGAGCTGGAGGATTTTACTTACTGTGCATGTTTTTAGTGGTAGGGGAAACTGGAGCATCCGTAGGGGAGAACAAACTCCACTCAGAAAAACCCTGTTCCACGACCTTCTGGCTGAGAAGGGAGAGCGCTAACCACTTTGCCACCATGCCGCCCCTTTCGGCCCTTTTAGAGCCTACTTCTAATCCTCTGTGGTGGTCATTTTAACCCAAGGGCAGCACAAGGGTTAATGAAGCTCAATCAGCAGCATTGGAACCATGTATTGGACTGGATATATCTGACTATACGGGGGCGACAGTAGCTCAGTTGGTAGAGCATTGGCCTTAAGGCCAGAAGGTCGTGGGTTCAATTCCTCTGCACCTTCTCCATCGACTCCCACTGATGACTGCTGTCGTTGTGTCCTTGGGCAAGACACTTAACCCCACTTTGCCCAAAAGCCCCCACTGAAAGATCAAGGCTATGCTCACAGTCAGAGAGCAGCCGTCCTCCTGTGGACTCACCACCTGCAGAGGGTCAGTGAGGGGCTGGTGCTATGAGACTTGGGTGGCATCTCTGATTGTCACCCCCCTGACCCAGAAATGGATTAAAGGGCAGAAAATGGATGGATGGATGGATATCTGACTATCTGACTGGATCTATCTAACTAATATGACAATTATCCAAAACATGATACTGAATAGTAAAGCGTATTCATGCCATAGGGGCACACTGAGCTGAAGGAATTGAATAACTTAATGAAACTATAATGAAAGCGCATGACAACACATCACTGGGAACAATATTAGCACAGCATTGAACAGCAGAGGTCCCAGTATCGACCCTGTGGTACTCCACAGGTCAGGGCCATATGATCTGAGAAACAGTTTACAATCTTCTCAAAGTACTTCCTGTCTTGATAAGAAAGGACTTACTATAAGTACTACTACTACTTCGACAAGTACTGCTACTTCTACCACTACGACTACATGTAATAAAGTATGTGTCCCGCAGACCACGCCCCCTGAATATGACGTGCGACAGATGAAAGTTCCCACTGCTGTTTTCTCTGGAGGTCGAGACACTCTCGCAGATCCCAAAGATGTGGCACTGCTGCTGCCTCAGGTACTACTACTACTACTACTTCCCCCTCTCCTCTCTCCTCACTTCTCCTCCTCCTCTTATCCTCTTTTATAGATCTCAAACCTGGTTTTCCACCTTCACCTGGATCAGTGGGAGCATCTGGACTTCATCTGGGGCCTCGACGCCAAAGACAAAATGTTCCCCTCCATCCTGAAGCTCTTGCAGACCTACTGAGACCAGATAACGGGGTTCTGGACCGGGTCTGAGACCTGAAACCAGAGACTGGGTCTTGATAAAACACAAAGATGTGTTTTTTTTCCTCAGTTCTAGTAATGGAACTCTGTTTTTCAAATATTTTAAATAAAACCTTTTAATCCTAGTTTTTTTCTGTTTCATTGCAGTTTTTCTGTTCAGGATGTATTTCATTAATTAATAAAATGTATTTAATTTTTTGCTTGTCAAGCAAAGTCCTGTTTCAGGGGGGGCAACTGTACAGGAAACCTAAGCAGACACTGGAAGAACAAGCAAACTCCACTCAGAAAGGCCCTGGTCTGGAGGTGGAACTGAACCCATAATTTGATGATAAGTTAGAGTGCTAACCACTCTGCAGCCAAATTTGATCATAGCCTCAAACTCACAAACTCTTACATTAAAGCTGGGATACAGAATTTTCAGACCAAATGTATTAAACCCATGTTTGGTTGCTAACTCTACTCATTATCACCAGTTTCCGATTTAGAAACCTGTATGTTTGCCCCTGTCACATCTTTACATCAGCTTTTCCAAACAGAAAAGTGTGTGTGTAACAAACACTAGTTCTTTGTGTTGAAGCTAAAGCCTCTAATCCTCTAAAGCTGATCCACTCTGAGCTCATTCACTGAACTGGGGCCTTTTTATTTGTATAGCACATCTACGGGTCTGACGCACAACCCCACACACAAAAGTTTAAGTTTTGTATAGAACAATTCATACCCAACTCAAAGCGCTGAACGAAGAAGATACTCCTTCAGTTGCTACAGTGAAACAGCAGGAGGCCTGTCCCTGTGCTCCTCAGAGTCCGAGTTGGTTCATTTTGCACTAACACACACATAACTTTACCTGAGACCCATAACTCCAAGGGACCTTTACCTACAACTAACAGGGAAAACATGGCACAGTATTGATCCCCCATAAACCATACAAACCAGATCTGTGGAGCCTGCAACTCGCCCATACAGGCGGTACACAACTGCGGTACACAACAGCAGTGTTGTGTGATGAAATGAAGAAACAACCCAAAAAGCAGGAATGCAAAAATAATGATTTAATGAGGATAATAAAATAAAAGTCCAAGGGAAAAACAAACAAAGGCAAATCCAAACAGAACAAGTAACATAGACAGAGACATGAACAGACAGCAACAATGGACCAGCAATCAGGGGAGAGGAGCACAGGTACATATACACTGGGGGTCGGGAGGACGGACCAGAGGCTATGAAAACCTCAGGTCTGAAGCAAGGTCCGAACAAATCAACGGCAAGAGCTGAAGCCCAGTGGTGACCTTCCAGCAGGCAACTGGCTCAACCCGTATGGACATATGCCGATAGTGACTCTGACAGCAACAGAACCACCCCAAGACGAAGATCAACATCAGGCGGGGGCAACAGGTGAATGGAAGGAGAGGTCATCATAGGGCAGCAGGCAGATACAGGTAGCAAAATCCAGGCAGACGGGAACATCCAGACCAGGACTTCACCGTTTACCTCTCAACAAGTCAGGAGGGGACAGGGCGCGATACTGGGCAGAGACGACCACCCCAGACGGAGGTCAATGTCTGGCGGTGGTTCCAGGAAACGGGTGCGAAGTCAGCAGTGAAGACAAGGAACATGGCAAAAATAAAAATTACTGCAATTATTTTTATAGTGCATTTTTACAGACCAAAGCGCTTTACAATTGTTCAGAGTTCATATATATTGTTCCAATCACTCCACACCCGGTGAGGACGGAAGCGAGATGCCGAGGTCCCCATGTCCTCTGAGACACGGGGAGAACATGTAAACTCTACTCAGAAAGGCCCTGTTCCAACCGGGATTCAAACCCAGGACCTTCTTGCGGAGAAGTGAAAGTGCAACCAGGCTTTTAGTGGCAGGCCCTTTCTGTCGTGTGGTGAAATGAAGGAAGGACCCAAAAAGCAGGAATGAAATATTAATGATTTAATAATAATAATAATACAAAAGTCCGAGGTAAAAAACAAACTCAAAACCCAAACGTTTCTAGGAACATAGACATGAACAGAGAAAGACAATGGACCAGCATCCAGGGGAAGGGATCACAGGTACATATACACAGAGACAGGTGACACACATCAGGGCAGTATACAACAGCAGTAGTATACAACAGCAGTATACACCAACAGTATACAACAGCAGTATACACCAACAGTATACAACAGCAGTATACACCAACAGTATACCACAGTAGTATACCACAGTAGTATACCACAGTAGTATACCACAGCAGTATACCACAGCAGTATACCACAGCAGTATACCACAGCAGTATACCACAGCAGTATACCACAGTAGTATACAACAGCAGTATACACCAACAGTATACCACAGTAGTATACCACAGTAGTATACCACAGCAGTATACACCAACAGTATACCACAGTAGTATACCACAGTAGTATACCACAGTAGTATACCACAGTAGTATACAACAGCAGTATACACCAACAGTATACAACAGCAGTATACAACAGCAGTATACACCAACAGTATACCACAGTAGTATACAACAGCAGTATACACCAACAGTAGTATACAACAGCAGTATACACCAACAGTATACAACAGCAGTATACAACAGCAGTACACTCCAACAGTAGTATACACCAGCAGTATACACCAACAGTAGTATACAACAGCAGTATACCACAGTAGTATACCACAGCAGTATACAACAGTAGTATACCACAGCAGTATACCACAGCAGTATACCACAGTAGTATACCACAGTAGTATACCACAGCAGTATACACCAACAGTATACAACAACAGTATTATTACTTATTTCTTTCGTCACATTTTTCTCGAAGCTGATTTCACTTTTACTCAATCTGATCCTGAATCTCATTACATCATCTTAGCTCCACCCCCTTGCCATGAGGACCACCTACTCCTTTAATCCCCGTGCTCTCATTGGTTGTTCCTTGGGTAGATGATGATGTTACTGATGACGGGTGAAGGATTGTAGGTACAAAACCTTGCAGCTGTTCATTCAGCAATCACCCGGAGATCAGCCAATCAGCAGCGGTAAGGCTCCTGTTTATACTACTATCTTTACACTACTTTTACCACATACTACTGCTGTTATACTTTAATACTGCTACTATACTGTAATACTACAATACTATTATTATACTGTAATAATAGTACTCTTTTCACTATAGTAGTAGTAGTAGTAGTAGTACTATCATTAGTAATAGTATTGAAACCGATTTAGAAACCTACAAGTAAATAAAATACTTTTGGTGCTTTAGTACTCCAGTACTACTCTAGTACTCCTCTAGTAGTACTCCAGTAGTGCTCAAGGTGAAATGATGATTATAAAACATTTTAGAAGTTGTTAAACTGTCTGTTCTGGCTCTAGTCCGGGCCTGGTCTGGACCTGGTCTGGACCTGGTGTGTGCCCGGTCTTGACCTGGTCTGGGCCTGGTCTGGGCCCGGTCTTGACCCGGTCTGGGTCCAGTCTGGGCCCGGTCTTGACCCGGTCTGGGTCCAGTCTGGGCCCGGTCTTGACCTGGTCTGGACCGGTCCTGGTCTGGACCCGGTCCGGACCTGGTCTAGTCTAAATCTGATTACATTTCCCATAATCCTTGGCCTCATGACGAGGATCAGGTCCATTGTTCAGTGATTAAACTGATTCTGTGAAAAACTAATTTTCACCATAAATCCTTAAAGCTGCAGCAGCTAAAGCTCAGGTCTGTAAGTTTAAAGCTCAGGTCTGTAAGTTTAAAGCTCAGGTCTGCATGTTTGAAGCTCAGGTCTGTTAGTCTTGCTGCTTTAAGAGTGTGATGTTTGTGTTGCAGACTCCAGGATCAGTCATGGCTGTGGTGGTGAGTCTCCTTATAAGTAGTAGTAGTAGTAATAGTATTATCATTACTATTATCTTCATAATAACAATTATAACTATTATTAATAATTATGGTTATTAGTATTAGTAGTAGTCCTCCCACTTGAGTTTGAATCATGTACAGTGTTATAATAAGTAATTGTTAATGAATGATGTCAAAATTCTGTGTAGTGACATTTGATAATAATCATGAAGCTAAAGCAGAAATTCAGAATGGGAGACTGGAGAACTAAGCTCACAGCGCTCGAAGTCCTCCTGCTGCTGCCCACAGCAGTCAGTCAGTCAATCAAACTCAGCGGCGTCTCAGCAAATCCTCACCTGCAGCAATCAGGCACTGCCCGCATCAGGTTCATATCACGCAGAAGCTCCATCCATGCAGCTGCTTCATTCACGCTGCAACCCTCCTCCTCCCCATCTCAGCCTTGTTCTAGGCCAGCTCCTGCTTCTAGTTACCACCACCAGGGTCTAGGCCTCAGGGGATTTAATCTCTCTCTCTTCTGCCAACATGCAGTACTCTGTCAGGGTCTAAGGCCAAATCCTAACCACATTCTGTGCAGCAACAATAAATGTAATCATGAAAATATTGTCCTCAGAGTCATATGTGTAATTCATGTAGTGTCAGATTACTTCCCAAACACACATTTCTAATAACACCCACATTTTGTCTGTTCGAGTCTCTCCAGCTTGAATTTGATGTACATTGAACTCGAAATAAATAACACTCAACTAGTAGTAGTGGTAGAAGTTTTAGAGAAGGAGTAGTATTCTTAGGATATTATTACTATTAATAACACTTGTCCCTGTGGTCAGAGTGGATCGTACCGCATGGTCTCAGAGGAGGAGCAGGCTCTCAGGGCCAAACTGGAGCGTCTCACGGTGAAGGACCACGGCCCGGTGTTCGGAGCCTGTGCCAAAATACCGGACCACACACAGCAGAAGGTACAGTCCCAAGAGTACAGACCTCTGCCAAGAGTACAGTGCTTGTATACAGACCTCTGCCCAGTGGGCCCTTTGTTCCTTCTTTACCTCTCTTTTCTAACTGCTGCACCGAGCCAAAGCAATTTTCTAGTCTGTGACTTCCTGTTACTTACATGACATATTCTGATTCTGATGATGAAAACCTCATGTGGCTGAAGTGTCATAAGGTCCATGATAAAGGCTCTGAGACTGTCCATGGTCTGATGCTCTGCTTCAGTAAAGGTCTTCATGAGACCTGAGTCAACTCAGAGAGGACTCTGAGTCCGGACTCTAAGACCAGACTTTGAGATGCGCTTCTTCTCAGGCCAAAGACGAGCTGAACGAGACAGATGAGAAGCGTGTGTCAGCAGTGAAGGAGCTCAGGTCTATGATGGCAGAGAAGGCAGAGTCAGGGGATGACCTGCATCGCGGCGTCAAGGACACGTTTGGAGAAAAACCCGACGCCATGTTGGTGCGGTTCATCCGAGCCAGGAAGTACGACGTGACCCGTGCCTACGACCTGATGAAGGGTGAGTGACCTCTGACCTTTGATGGTCTGATCTCTCTCTGGTCTAACCTTGGCCCGGTCTGGTCATTGATCTTAGGTTACGTGAGGTTCCGTAAGGAGTACCCAGAGCTGTTTGAGAACTTGACTCCGGAGGCGGTCCGCAGCACCATCGAGGCCGGGTACCCGGGGATTCTCCCGAGTCGGGACAAACACGGCCGTGTGGTCCTGCTCTTCAACATCGAGAACTGGGACTACGAGGAGATCACCTTCGACGAGGTCCGTCCCGAGTCCCACCCGAGTCTGATCTTCAGTCGCCACAAAGTTGTTGATTTACTGACAGCAGATTAGAAAAGCATGAACCAGGTCTGAACCAGGACTAAACCAGGACTGAACCAGGTTTAAACCAGGACTGAACCAGGTTTAAACCAGGACTGAACTCTGTCTCGACCAGGTCTATGATTCTGTGATCTGAGCTTGTGTTGTGTGTGTCTCTGCAGAAGCCATAACATTCTGCTGCATGTGACAAATTAACTTACCTTACACCCGTGTCCTCAGACCCTTAGGTCTTATCTCATACCTGTGTCCTCAGACTCTTAAATAGAGTTACTATTTACTAATACTTTATTGATCCCCGTAAAAGAAATTCAGGTGTCCTAACAATAGTAATAATAAGCAACAGCCCTTCAGGTCACAGCAGCAGAGATGGAAAAGCCTCTGGGTGGAGCAGGACAGGTCCACAAGGTAGAGTTAGGCCTTACCTCATGCCCGTGTCCTCAGATCCTCAGGGCGTACTGTGTGATTCTGGAGAAACTTCTGGAAAATGAAGAAACTCAGATCAACGGTTTCTGCATCATCGAGAACTTCAAAGGCTTCACCATGCAGCAGGCGTCCGGGATCAAGCCCACTGAGCTCAAGAAGATGGTTGACATGCTGCAGGTACGAGCCCGAGGACCCCAGACCAGGGACCTGAGACGGGGAATCGGGACGAAACTGGAAGTAACAATCCTACCTTCAAATTAGTTTTAGACTAATAAGTCCTTAAGTGGTGACTGGTTAAGTTTTAGGTGATGGTTAAGGTTAGGGTTAAGGGTGGGTTGGGGTTATTTTATGGGAATGGCAGGTTAAGTTTAGGCATAAATAGATAGTTTGTTATAATTACTTCGGCTTCCGTCACGATTCCGTTTATGATCTAGTGCTGACCGACCTGAGACCCAGAACCTGTGACCCAGGACCCTTAGCAAATATAAGAGGTGTTTTAACTGGCCAGACTGAAGCTGACAGAGCTGTTTAGAGCTAACCTTGTGGTGTCTTCCCAGGACTCGTTTCCTGCTCGATTCAAAGCCGTGCACTTCATTCATCAGCCGTGGTATTTTACCACAACCTACAACGTGGTCAAACCTCTGATGAAGGGCAAGCTGCTGGAGCGGGTGAGGCTAACATGCTAATGCTACTGTTACTGGGTAGCCCGAACCCATGATGCTAATAAGGCTAACCGCTAGCGAAGGTGATGCCAATGAGGCTAACGCTAATGTCAATTGAGTGATTCATGTATAACCCGTGTCCCCTCAGGTCTTCGTCCATGGAGACGAGTTGGACAATTACTACAAAGAGTTTGACTCGGACATCCTGCCATCCGAGTTTGACGGAAAAGGTTCAAAATACGACGGAAAGGCGACCGCGGCTCGGCTCTTTGACTGAAGGGCAGTGATGTGTGTAACTTAAGACTCGGGCAGGACCCAGACCCAAACCAGACCAGACCAGACCAGACCATTCCTGACCCCACTGTGCTGTAAATCACATTGTTACTGCACCAGCTGTGCCTCTGTCAATAAAGTTGTTTCAAACAGTTTCTTTTGTGTCAGAAACTCTTCACTCACACACCCCAACTCCGAAGACCAGAGCTTCGGTCCGACCTGCTGCTCCAAGCCCTGGTGATCCAAGATGGCGTCCTATTCAAATGAATGGTTTGTGCTCAGTAGCGCACAGGAGGACTGAAAGATTAGCGGAACTCGGCTATATTTTGGCATCGTCTGGTCCATGCGCAGTGGAGAGCTCCCATGATGCATTGCACCAAATACGCGTGTGTGGCTCTCATGCACGTGCAGAGGGGCTCGGCTGCGTTTTGACTTATCAGAGCAGCGGTAGAGCGGAGCCAGAGCGGGAAGGAAACGAGCAGAGTTTGTTGCAGTAAAGTGTGGATTGAATGAAAATCGAAGGATTTAGGAAGAAAAAAGTTCAGGAAGACAAGGAACACTAAAATCCCCGCAAAATCTGATCTTTATGAAAGCTGTAGGTTCTCTGTCAGCTGAGGTTGAGCTGTTTTAATTTACATTGAGTTCTATAGAACTTTTTTCTGGATAGCCCACGTGTATTTAGTCTATGGTACCATGGGCGCCCCCTGTGCCCATGGGTGGGACAGCTATAAGCTAGTAATACCCTATCCAGTTATTATTGATCCATGTGCTGTTCACACAGACTTCCATAATCTAATCATTTTAATGTTGAAAACAGCAGAAACACAAAGGCTTAAATACAGGAGTGTACACACAGATACATATATGTACACACAGGTATGCACAGATACATTTGTACACAAAGGCACATATATGGACGTATGCAGTATGTGCATAAAGCACTTATAGTTCCACATGATGGAGTGAAGGCGACAGGACTACGTTTCTCATAATGCTTTTGGAGCAGCATGTTTGGAAGAAAATGTTTTAGAATCTGCATGTTGAATGGAATAAGAGTGGGTCATGACATGGTCTGAGGACAGAAGGGCACAGTGAAGGACAGATTCTACTTAAAATTTGGTTTTAGAGAAAAGAGTTTTACAAAAATAATATTCAAAAAAATATATTTCTTGTTGAATCTGACTTGTCCTCCAGGGGGCTCCGCAGAGACACTGTCCTCAGACACACTGTCATTGGCTGAGGCTGGTGTTGGGGGCAGGGTTTTTATGAACGGGTGACGAGGCGCCGCTGGAGGGAACGCTGCCAACTGAAGAAGAAGATCATCATAAAAACACTTTCACTTTGTCTTGGCCATGGTCTTGGTCTTGGTCTTGGCCCTGGTCTGACTCACAGTTGCTGATGAACTGTTGTAGATACGCTTCAGACGAGGCCCGAGTCTCCATCACCGCTGAAAACAGACACATAAAGACCTGGTCTGGTCCTGGTGTTGTCCTGGTCAGTCCTGTTTTTAGTTCTATTCTGGTCCTGGTCCAATTCGGTCCTGTTCCTTTTCCTGGTCTGGTCGGATCCGGTCCTAGTTCTGGTCTAGTCTGGTCCGTTCAGGTCCGATCAGGTCCGATCCTGATTTTGTCTGGTCTGGATCTTAGTCCTAGTTTGGTCCTTACCGGAATGGCTGCGGTCTTTACAGACTCGCTGCAGAAACTCGTCCACTTGTTTCAGAGACAGAGAGTTGTGCAGTGTCTCCAGAGGGAAGATAGAGGGCACCATCGAGCAGCCTTCAAACCCTGCACACACAAAGTCCTGAGACCAGGCCCACAACCCAAACCCTGCACACACACACACCCACGGGGTTTCACAGCTGCAGCAACCCCTGCCCCAGCTGTATTTTACAGTGTATGCATAGCTTTTGACAGCTGCAGCAGCAATCACACAATCAAGTGCAAAATGTATGTATGAGGGGTTTTACAAGCTGTAGTACCTGTAGTACCTACAGTAACAGTAGTACCCTGACCTCATTTTACAACTTAAGTGTATCTATACTAGGATCTTTGTTTACCCCCGCGTGCGCATGCGCCCCTCGCTGGGTGGCAAAAAGACAGAGCGGCACATACTGAAGCATGAATATGAGTACTTTAAAAAGACTCAGTGGGCGAAATGCCCTGTATATAAGCATTTTAACGCAAGAAGATCAGAGAAGATATAAAGACAAGCTAAAAATAAGTAAATGAGACCGAACTGAACAAATCCAAAGCCCATATGAGACCTGGGATGACGAGAAGAAACATTGGTCAGACTCGCCATAGCCACATATTCTTTGCCAGCAATGAAACTTGCTCCTCTCTGACAATGTTTAAAACCAGGTTAAAAACAGTTTTGTTTAGCTGTGCATAGAACTGAGGGATTATATATTTTTATCTTTTTTAATGTATTGTAATTATTTATGATTTTAATGCTTTCTTGTTTTGTTCAGCACTTTGAGTTGCCTTGTGTATGAATTGTGCTATACAAATAAACTTGCCTTGCCTAAATATTCCTCTTGCTCTCTTTGGGAACGGAACCAGAACGGATTACTTTAGTATCGCATTCGTCGCCATTGTCAAACTACAACCAGAAAATTTGGCGCAAACTCTTGACATCACGACACAAGAACCGGCTCCCCCGCTCGCTGAATGGTCGGATGGGATACAACTGAGATAACCACAGCCACTGGGGTCAGACCAAGCCCCGGCGATCCAAGATGGCGCCCTATTCAAATGAATGGTTGTGCTCAGTGGCGCTTTGTGACAGCATGGGGGCTGAAAGATTAGCGGAAGTTGCCTGAAACTCGCAAAGATCTATGGGAAACTCGCCTGTATTTGGGCATCGTCTGGTCCTCCCGGTTCTGCGCAGTGGATGATCTCCAGCCAAACACGCGTGTGAGGGTCTCACACCGGGTCTCACGCACGTGCACAGAGGGGCTCGGCCGCGCTCTGACCAATCAGAGCAGTTCATCAGAGCGGGAGTTAGAGCGAGAGCCAGAGGAGCAGAGTTTGTGGCACTAAAGTGTGGATTTAAACAAAACCGAAGGATTTAAGAAGAAAAAAAGTTCAGGATGACAAGGGACACTAAAATCCCCACAAAATCCGATCTTTATTAAAGCTGTAGTTTCTCTGTCAGCTGAGGTTGAGCTGTTTTAATATGCATTGAGTTCTATGGGGAAAATTTCTGGGTAGCCCACGTGAATTTAGTCTGGTTCAGTCTGCAGTACCGCGAGAATCCCCTGAGCACGTGAGTTATTCAGCTACAAGCTAGTAATACCCTATCCAGTTAATATAATACATCCATGGGTCAGACCCAGACGTCCATGTAGGAAATGATAATTGACTGGAGTTTACGGATGGCTAAGGCCAGGCTACGTCTGTCGCTACAGCAGGCACTTCTCACAGCAGTTCACAACCTAAGGTCCAGTCCTGGTCCTGGTCCAGTACTGGTCCAATCCCAGATCAAGTCCTGGTCCAGTCATGGCCCTGGTCCAGTCCTGCTCCTGGTCCAGGTCCAAATACAGGTCTAGTCCTGATCCAGTCCTGGTTCTCACCGTTTGTTGGGTGCAGGGCTAGAGTGACAGAAAACCTCTTTTTCGGCGGCAAAGAGAGAAAGTCTAAAAAGAAAAGAAAAGGGGGCGGGGCAAAGAGGATGAAAGACAGCACCTCCACAGGACACAGGCAGAAGTGCAGACCTGCACACTGGTTAGGTTTAACAAGGATTAGGGTTAACCAGGGTTAACCAGGGTTAAGGGTTAGTCAAGGTTGCTATAAAGAAAGGCCTATTTTGGCGCCTAAAGGGTTGAGAAAGTACACAAAGCAGTGATGGACCAGGTCTGAACCAGAACTAAACAAGGTCTTAACCAGGTCCTGTTGAGTCCCAGTGTAGTACGTACCAAAGACAGTGGAGGGCAGACTTCCAGGGGACAGTGGTGGCTTTCGGTGGAGCTCGGGGATGGTCCTGGTCAGGTCCTGGGTCATCCCCGGTTTGGTCCTGGTCGAGTCCTGGTTCACCTGGGGTTTGGTCCTGTTTGGGTCATGGGTCTGAGCTGGTTTGGTCCTTGTCGGGTCATGGGTCAGACCCAGTTTGGTCCTGGTCGGGTCCTGGTTTAGCCCGGGTCTCGGGGGGTGTTTGCGGTGGTGTACACGGATGTACTCCCGCAGGTTGGGAGCGCTGCAGGAGAACAGCCCCGAGCACAGCGAGCCTGAACACAGGTTAGAACACACCGCTGTCGCCATGGTAACAACTACACAACCGTCACCATGACTACAGCTCCACACACTGCAAACTATGTTTATGTTCTTTTGCTGGGTTGCAACTGACGTCTGTGCAGTGGTGCGAAAGTCATCCAAGAGACAGGAAGTAAATCTCTCCATTAAGAACCATGTAAATCATCACTGATTCAGAGTCAAAATGCTCATTTTCAGTGTTGTGGACAGTTGTAGCAAATGCTTGTATAAAGTGGGGAACTAAAGGAGTCTCTATTTTTCTCAAATACATTTCTCTAACTGTGTACATTTTTAGGAAAATACCTAAAAAGGAAGGGATGAAATGCATTAGCCAGGGTAGTACATAGTGCAAAGTGATGCAATTACTGTAATGTATTACTTGTTGCTATCGCAGTAATGTAAGGCATTACAGATAAAAAACTGGGTGATATTTATTCAGTACAAAAGTTAGTAAAGTGAGTTACATTGCATTTTAACTACGCCTTCTGCTCAGCGGTTGGTGTTTGTGAAAGAGCATAGACATGCTCATTCAATCTGGTGGACATATGTGACATTATCCTCACATGTCCACCAGATTGAACCTACTCCCTCCTGGATCAATCTGGTGGACATGTGAGGATAATGTTCTTTGATTTTTCAAGTGCATTCGACACAATTCAACCAGACATCCTCAAACAAAAGCTGGAGAGGTTAGGGGTTGACCGGATCTTCATCACGTGGATCCATAACTATCTGACGGGCCGGCCTCAGTGCGTGAGGCTTGGCCACACCACTTCGGATTATGTCGTGAGTAATGTTGGGGCTCCACAAGGAACGGTTCTTGCTCCTTTTCTCTTTACCATCTATACATCTGACTTCAAGTACCACTCTGACACTTGTCATGTTCAGAAGTACTCGGATGACACAGCCATTGTGGCCTATGTCAGAAATAACCAGGAAGAGGAGTACAGGAACTTGATCACTGCATTCTGTGATTGGAGCACCAAGAACTCACTTACTCTGAACACTAACAAGACCAAAGAAATGACTATCTACTTTGGCAAGAAAAAGAACACTTTACAGCCAATAAATATTCATGGACAGGACATCGAACGCGTGCACACATACAAATATCTAGGTGTTCACCTGGATGATAAATTGGACTGGAACATCAACACAGAGGCGCTCTACAAAAGGGGTCAGACCAGGCTCTTTTTTCTGAGGAGGCTGAAGTCCTTTGATGTGTGTAATCAAATGTTGTCTATGTTTTACCATTCTGTTGTGGCTGCTGTTCTCTTTTATGCTGTCATTAGCTGGGGCAACAATATATCGGTCAAAAACCGTAACAGGCTGGACAAACTGGTTAAGAGGGCGGGGTCAGTGGTTGGGGGGTCACTGGACTCTGTTGAGGCAGTGGTTGAGAGGAGCATGGGGAGAAAGGTCCAGGCCATCCTTAGTAACTCCAGGCACCCTCTGCATGGGACTCTGTCTGCTCAGAAGAGCAATCGATCGGATCGTTTCCTCTCCGTAGACAGCAGGACTGAGCGCTTCCGGAGATCCTTCATCCCTGCTGCAATTCGATTTTATAACGGTCATCGCTGATGTAAATGTGTGGGGGTTTTAATTTTTTCTTATTATATTTATATGTATTGTCTTCTTTATCCGCTGTTTTGCTACTAAGGACAACTGAATTTCCCCTCGCTGGGATGAATAAAGTATTTATCTATCTATCTATCTATGCAGCCTAAAAGATAAATGAGAGTCTAAGATCATCAATACTAATAGCGATATGAGCCTCTCAAGAGTCCTGTTAGAGACAGAGGCAGACACTTTTCATCACGTTTAGTAAATAAAGCAGTGAGCGACAGTGAACCAGTTCTGAGCCAGGACTGGACCAAGACCTGAACCAGGATTAATCAGTTTACCCCAGGTTTTAACAGAATCAGCAATAGTGAAAATAAAATGAGAGTAAATAAGTAAGTAAGTACCCCAATTTTTCAGCAAAAATTAATATATTATAATTGAACTTGAGATGTTATATATAAGTACAGACTAAAAGTTTGGACACACTCATTTATTTTCAAGACTATTGACTGTAAATTCACACCAGGCTGTGTAAGGGCTGTTTGACCAATAAGGAGAGTAGTGGGTGCAGTCACCAGACCTGGACCCAATCCAGATGGTTTTGGGGTGAGCTGGACCACAGAGTGAAGGCAAAAGGGCCAACAAGTGCTAAGCATCTCTGGGAACTCCTTCAATACTGTTGGAAAACCATTTCAGTGTGCGAAGCAGTAATCGGAACAAAAGGTGCTACTTTGAAGAACCCAGAATATAAGACAAATTTTCAGTTGTTTCATACTTTTTTGTAGTACGTACATAATTCCACATGAGTTAATTCATAGTTTTGATTCCTTCAGTGTGAATTTTCATAATCATGAAAATAAAAAAAGTCTTTGAATGAGAAGGTGTGTCCAAACTTTTGGTCTGTACTGTATATATATATACACAGTGCCTTGCGAAAGTATTATTAGTATAGTAAAGTATATTGAACCTTTCAACATTTCGCCACATTTCAGGCTTCAAACATAAAGATATACAATTTTTATTTTTTGTCATGAATCAACAACAAGTGGGACACAATCGTGAAGTGGAACGAAATTTATTGGATAATTTAAACTTTTTTAACAAATAAACTGAAAAGTGGGGCGTGCAATATTATTCGGCCCCTTTACTTTCAGTGCAGCAAACTCAGTCCAGAAGTTCAGTGAGGATCTTTGAATGATCCAATGTTGTCCTAAATGACTGATGATGATAATTAGAATGCACCTGTGTGTAATCAAGTCTCCGTATAAATGCACCTGCTCTTTGATAGTCTCAGGGTTCTGTTTAAAGCGCAGCGAGAACCATGAAGAGAAAGGAACACACCAGGCAGGTCCGAGATACTGTTGTGGAGAAGTTTAAAGCCGGATTTGGATACAAAAAGATTTCCCAAGCTTTAAACATCTCAAGGAGCACTGTGCAAGCAATTATATTGAAATGGAAGGAGTATCAGGCCACTGCAAATCTACCAAGAACCGGCCGTCCCTCCAAACTTTCATCGCAAACAAGGAGAAGACTGATCAAAGATGCAGCCAAGAGGCCCATGATCACTCTGGGTGAACTGCAGATAACTACAGCTGAGGTGGGAGAGTCTGTCCATAGGACAACAATCAGTCGTGCACTGGACAAATCTGGCCTTTATGGAAGAGTGGCAAGAAGAAAGCCATTTCTCAAAAGATATGCATAAAAAGTCTTGTTTAAAGTTTGCCACAAGCCACCTGGGAGACACACCAAACATGTGGAAAAAGGTGCTCTGGTCAACTTTTTGGCCACAATGCAAAACGATATGTTTGGCGTAAAAGCAACACAGCTCATCACCCTGAACACACCATCCCCACTGTCAAACATGGTGGTGGCAGCATCATGGTTTGGGCCTGCTTTTCTTCAGCAGGGACAGGGAAGATGGCTAAAATTGATGGGAAGATGGATGGAGCCAAATACAGGACCATTCTGGAAGAAAACCTGTTGGAGTCTGCAAAAGACCTGAGACTGGGACGGAGATTTATCTTCCAACAGGACAATGATCCAAAACATAAAGCCAAATCTACAATGGAATGGTTCACAAATAGACGTATCCAGGTGTTAGAATGGCCAAGTCAAAGTCCAGACCTGAATCCAATCGAGAATCTGTGGAAAGAGCTGAAGACTGCTGTTCACAAACGCTCTCCATCCAACCTCACTGAGCTCCAGCTGTTTTGAAAGGAAGAATGGGCAAGAATTCCAGTCTCTCGATGTGCAAAACTGATAGAGACATACCCCAAGCGACTTGCAGCTGTAATTGCAGCAAAAGGTGGCGCTACAAAGTATTAGCGCAAGGGGGCCGAATAATATTGCACGCCCCACTTTTCAGTTTTTTATTTGTTAAAAAAGTTTAAATTATCCAATACATTTCGTTCCACTTTCTCGAATGTGTCCCACTTGTTGATTCTTGACAAAAAATTTAATTTTTATATCTTTATGTTTGAAGCCTGAAATGTGGCGAAATGTTGAAAGGTTCAAGGGGGCCGAATACTTTCGCAAGGCACTGTATGTATATATATATATATATATATATATATATATATATATATATATATATATATATATATATATATATATATATATATATATATATACATATGTTTTGGAGAAAGTAACTTAAAAGTAATGAAGTAGTAGTGTAATGCATTACAATTCAGAGACAGTCATATTGTAGTGTAATACTACATATATACTACGTCAATTATTTTGAAATAACAGTAATTAGTAATACATAATGTATTACGTTTTTGAAGTAACTTGCCTAACACTGGTAGTGTCTCACTAGTGTCGCTGACTTTCAGAGAAACAATGCTGTCTTTTTGTGCGCTATGCGGTTGTAACCAAGGCAACAGGGAGAAAGACAAGAGTATATTCTAAAATAATTAAGTTCGTGTCAAACCAAGGTGTTCAAGGTGTTGAGTGACTGTTTAATCCTCCTCATTGTTGAAAATATTGAACTAATTAAAAGGTGTACTCTGTATTGAAAATTGTTAATTCAAAATAAGAGCAATATCAAGCCATGAAAATGGAGAGAAACACTTCCTGTCTTACAGCCCCATGTCACGTGATTGAAACCCAGCGATTTTATTTGGATCAAATAGTTTTCATCTCCCAGGACCCAGAGGGGAATGGGGACTTAAGGTATCAGAGGGGGAGGGGGACTGAGGTCCCTGCGGTCTGAGGTCCCTGCGGTCTGAGGTCCCTGTGGTCTGAAGACCCTGTAGTCTGAGGTCCCTATGGTCTGATGTCTCTGGTTCCTGAGGTATCTGGTCTCTGAGGTCGCTGTGGTCACAGGTCTGGTCCCAGAACCTGGTGGCCTGTGTTTGTCTTTGTAAGAATTCTCCCCTGAGCCCACTTTGAAAACCACTGATGGAGCCTAATTTTTGCTTTTGACATATTTTGCAGTGTTTACAGAACTATTGTTACAGCGCCACCAGAGGCCGACAGACGAACTACAGCCCGTGGCAGATGTGACGCAGAAGGAGCTCAGGGACCATTGCCCGAGCACTGACCCCTGAAGACCAGCCCGAGCACTTTCTTCTTTTATAAAGTGAACACATATATGAGGCTTTCTCCTGTTTGATCACATCTGCCTGGGTCCCTCCATCTGCCTGTTGGCGGCACCACACTCCACACCACAGCCCTGTCCCCCCCCCCAGTCTGACTCAGAGCCCGAGTTTCTCTAGGACCTGAGACTCGACTCTGGGGTATGACAGTTGTTATGAAGGTTGAAGATGATGAAGATGCAAGACTGACCCAGTGCATTCGGTTTGAACTCAGGAGACTGTTTTGTCCCAGACGAGAAGAGTCGGAGAGGAGCCAGTTTGGTCTGTGACTGGGACTGGGACTGGGACTCGGACAAGACCTGGGGACAGAGTACAACCTCAGACATCGGAACATTAAAGCTGTAACTTTATAGCCGATCAATGTGGATCTTTAGACTTGGTCTGGACCATGTAGATCTTACCTCCATAGATCCGGTCTTACGATTGCGGACCATCGGAGAGCGGCGCTGGATGCTGATTGGCTCAGAAACAGGAAGAGCAGCTTGGTCGGTCTGGTCATGGCTCAGGTCTTCCAGACTGCCCTGGTCTTTGTTCTGAAAAGACGCAGTTTGGGAAGTTACTTTAACATTGGAATATATTTATCTATATATAATTTAAATGAGTTAAACATGGAGGTGATGTGGTCATAAACATTGAGGTGATGTGGTCACCTCAGAGGCGGCAGGTCTGAAGCCACACCCTCGGGGGGCGCTCTCGCTCTCAGAGCCTCGAACTCCAGGACTGAAGTGTAACTCCACGTGAAAACGCTCCTCAGAAGACGGGTCCTGGACACAAACAGAGGAGTCAGGGTCATGCAGCCGTTTCTGGGTGTGACCTTTAACATGATGGCTGCCACGGTTACCTTGACAACACTAATCAATAATACTTCTTAATATTCCTGAGTTTCAGCTTGCCATTTCTTGTTGCCCTCGTTATGCATGTGTTTGTGTTTATGTGTTGCTTACTTGTTGTTGTTTATTTGTTGTTGTTTGCCTTTTTGTTATTTATGTTGTTTTTTACCTTGTTATTGTCCTCGTACAGCATGATCACCACTTGCGTCATGTAGTTCAATTCTGGGACAGCGCTCAGGAAGTCCATGGCCTGTTTCCACTGAGTGTCCTGCTCCTCCTGGTGGACACAGAGGGAATTACACTGTTAGCGCTACCCGACTCAGGCCAAGACCCGACCTGAGAATGTGGTCGTGGACAACTCAGGCTTAGGTGCATCTCGAGGGTCATAATCACAGAGGTTCGAGCATGGTGCTCGAAAGAGGAAGAATTCAGGTTAGCTCGGGCAGTGGTGATGAGGCAGCCAGGCAGGGGGACACAGATCCATCAGATGTTAGGTTTTGCGTGAAAGCTGTGATATCACATCCTTCTACAGATGTGGAAATAAACATTTATATTTTTGTCAATTTTTTTTGTAAAAACCTGCTTTGGACTTTGACAAGAAATGGAACTAAAGACATTTGACTTTAGAGAAGCGTTCAAACAGTGTTGTTGTTTTTGTTGTTTACTCACGTCGAGCAAACCTCCGTATCTGAACATGTTGAGCAGTGAGTGGACATGACTCTCGGATGTAAAATACAGACGAGTTCTGACGTGTCGCTCCGGAGACATCACCCCACGAGAATATCTGTTAAGTAAAGAACAATATCTGTCAACAAAAAGTAAAAAAAAACAACTGTTAAATAAAAAGAAAACAACAACATTGAATTTTATATAATGGTCGTGTAAAGTCCTCTGAAGGCGCGTTCCCACCGGATCGTGCGTTGTGGCGAGTTTCAATGAAAAGTCAATGGTGACATATTTGCATGTACGTCACGGCATGCACGTTTGTCTGGCGCGGTCATGGATCTATTATAATAACTGGATTGGGTATTACTAGCTCAGACCTGTCCCAGCCATGGGCACAGGCCCTCTGTGCCCATGGGTGGGACAGTGGGTACTGCAAACTAAATTCACACGGGCTACCCAGAAAAAAGTCCCATAGAACTCAATGTAAATTAAAACAGCTCGACCTCAGCTGACAGAGAATCTACAGCTTTCATAAATATAGTATGTGGGGATTTTAGTGTCCCTTGTCATCCTGAACTTTTTTTCTTCTTAAATCCTTCTGTTTTCTTTAAATCCACACTTTACTGCCACAAACTGTTCCTTTCCTTCCTGCTCCGACTCCGCTGCATGCATCATGGGAGCTTGTCCACTGCGCAGAACCGGGAGGACCAGACGATGCCCAAATATAGGAGAGTTCTGCTAATCTCCCGGTCTCCGTGAAGTCCCATGCGCTACTGAGCACAAGCCATTAATTTGAATAGGGCGCCATCTTGGATCACCGGGGCTTGGGCGCGGCAGACACATTTTTGACACAAGCCGGTCAGTAAATAAGTGGAGAACTTTACACAAAAAGCTGCTAGCTTAAACTCGTTAGCATCAATGCCTGCCCAGCCCTTCCGCCCTTCCACATTGTAGGGTAGAAAGTCAGATTTACTCAATTTAGCTGCCATGAACGCGCGTCCATGTCTCCATCAACTCCTAACTACTGTTGTAAGCAGTAACCGGTAACAAAGACTCGGGAAGTTTCAGGTTCAACTCCGCCATGATGCTCATTTAACTCAACTGTCTGTGCGCGCTAACGAGAGACCTGTAGAAAGTGGGGGCCAGTGGTCCACTGTGATAGGTCACAATCTGGTCCCGAAACAAATTATCTTCCGCTTTGCACGAAAACTCGATCTAAAATAAAACTTCACTCCAGTACAAACTTGCGCTACTTCTTCAAAAGGACGTACAGTATATCCCTATGCACTGCATGGATATGGATTGAATTTCCCTAATTAATACAAAAATAAAGTGAGGTAGTCCAGCTTTAACCCCATTTTGCCTGAAGCCCCCGCTGAAAGATCAAGGCTGTGTCGTCAAGGGCAGAGCAGCCATCCTCTTGTGGACTCAACACCTGCAGGAGGATCACCCAGGATCACCCAGAAATGGATTAAGGGGAAGAAGATGGATGGATGGATGAATCCAATTAGTTGAATCTTTAGAATACAATGATTTGAAAAAATGCTTTAAAAGGATGTAGGGGGGGGGGGCTTACTCACAGTGGGTGGAGCTTGTTCACAGACTCGTCCTCGTGCGTCCTCTGAAGGTCCAGTTGTATTTTCTTCATCAGAGGAACACAGTACGTCTGAGCGATGTCCAGCTTCTCCTGAGGACTGATCCCATACTCCTGTGGTCCAGGGAGACCATGAGACAAGAGAGAAAGATCAGAGACCAGAGATTGTGAGACCCGGAACGAGAGACCAGAGAATGAGATCGTGAGACCAGAGAGAGACAACAGAGACCAGAGATTGAGTTAGACCAGAGACCAGTTATACAAATTAACTGTACAATGCACAGTGTGAGGTGTCCCTGCACCCTGACCCTGGTGGTGAGGCTCACCTGGACTCCGCCTGCTCCAGAGTCCTGTCAGGGGATGGGTTCAGGTCCGGGTCTCACCTGGGGTATGACGAGGTCGGCTAGAGCCCGGCTCAGCCTCAACAGCTCCTCAGTCTGCTCCAGCCTCAGCGACCCGTTGTGTTGGAGATCGTATTTGATGCAGTCGTAAATATCTGGGATTTTGCTGATGTCGTAACGTCCGCTTTTCATCCGGAAGTCTCTCTCCAGTTTGGACCAGCGCCCGAGCATCAGGTCCAGGGACTCTGAGTGGTACAGCTGCAGGTCTAACAGCAGAGACCAGGGATAAGGTTAGACCAGAGGTTGAGTGAGACAAGAGACCAGAGTTTTAGTGTAACCAGGGCTCGACATTAAAGTGGTTCTCACCCCCGCTCCTCGGAGCTTACGTCACTCACATTTCCTGTTCAAATCTTCCTCTAAATGGGCGTAGCCTGGAGGCCTAAAGGGGGCGTGAACGAGACTGGGCAGTTTACATTGCTCTGGGCGGGGGGCTGCTGACGTCAGGTCTTGCTTCAGACGTCAGGTCTTGCTGCCGCGCCAGTGTTGGCACCAGATTCAAAATTCAAATGTAGTAATACAGGTCGCCAGCAGATGGCGCCTCACAGACGGTTTTAGGCAGAAAGTTTAACTTTCAACTAATTTGCACCAAAGTGACAAAATTATGACCAGGATATGTAGACAACACTATTGGACACTCATTTATACCGTTTATCAGCAAAAAAAGTGGATTTGAGGGTGAGTTGTCCTTTAACGGTTGTCCGCTTGCCCAGGGTAACTAAAGATTTGGGACGGGCAAGTGCGGTGTTTTAGCAAGTAGCCCAGTCGGGCAAGTGATGTATCACTTTAACCCATTCAGGTTGGGAACACAGTCCCGCATTTCTTCCTCTGGAGCCGGGAGCGGACACGTCTGATTATCTTTTTTTTGACAAATTCCCTTCAAAATTTTCCACGGATCCGCAATTCCCGACTGTTTTCCGCTGACAATGTCATTATTGTGAAATGTGTGACCGCAGGAACTTTCTGTTGTTTGCTGTATGGACTTGATCGGGATTTACATCCTCCGCTCTGACCCCGGGAGCAGCTGCGGCCGCTTTGTAATGACAGCCGCTTTGACAACAGCTCAGTGAACGCACAGCCATAACGTGGTACCGAGCGCAGACCATAGACACACGGACAGGACCAGACACACGGACAGGACCATAGACACGCGGACAGGACCAGACACGCGGACAGGACCATAGACACGCGGGCAGGACCATAGACACGCGGACAGGACCATAGACACGCAGACAGGACCAGACACACGGAAAGGACCATAAACACGCGGACAGGACCACAGACACGCAGACAGGACCAGACACACGGAAAGGACCATAGACACGCGGACAGGACCAGACGGACAGGACCAGACGGACAGGACCATAGACACACGGACAGGACCATAGACACGCGGACAGGACCAGACACACGGACAGGACCATAGACACGCGGACAGGACCAGACACGCGGACAGGACCAGACACACGGACAGGACCATAGACACGCGGGCAGGACCATAGACACGCGGACAGGACCATAGACACGCAGACAGGACCAGACACACGGAAAGGACCATAAACACGCGGACAGGACCACAGACACGCAGACAGGACCAGACACACGGAAAGGACCATAGACACGCGGACAGGACCAGACGGACAGGACCATAGACACACGGACAGGACCATAGACACGCGGACAGGACCAGACACACGGACAGGACCATAGACACACGGACAGAACCATAGGCATGCGTTCAGGACCATCCCCAGCTTGTTGCAAGTGCAGGTCTCCACCGTGTCCCAACCAAAACTCACAAAATTAAAGCTCAGGTACCTAAATCTTAGCCTGGCTCTGCCAGACCCTTGTAGTTCCGCCATGCTCCACCAGAGGCGTGTGGCTGAACCACATGGGTCTGGTATGAACACGCTCATTTTTTCTTGAACATTGAACTGAACGCAACACATTTTTAAAAAAAGAACTTGAACGTGAATTAGTTTATTTTATGTGTCATGAACGGCAGACATCACTATGAACGTTGGAATCTGTTTTCTCTTTTGTAACGCAACGAGAGAAAGTTCCTCCCTCCTGTATTCTCGCACTTTTTCTGCCAAAATCTAAAAATTCCTACGGTTTCCACCGTCTGTGAACGCACCCCGACTCTGTGTAGTGGTGCGGCGCTGTGAGCTGTTGCTTTTCACATGTGCCTGAGTCGTGATGAAAACACAGGGTGAGTTAGCGACAAAGTTTACACCGTTTACATTTGACATAAAGTATAGACACACGCACTGCAGCGCATTACTGTTTGTAGTTTATGAGCAGAGATGGAGCAACTCCGTTTTGCTCCCATTGAAAACCATATAAATCTGGTCTGTTTTGTGGTCAAAAGGCTCTCCTCCTGTGGGTGTACAGGAGATATATACACATATATTGCTCGTAGTGTGAAAAAAATATTTAAGTATCTCACGAAAAAAGTAAAATGAACTGAACTTTGAACTAGTTCAGAATTAAAAATGTGAACTTTGAACGTGAACTGTTCACTTTGAGCATGTATGAACTGAACTTGAACTAGTTCAGAAAAGCTGTGAACTGGCAAAACACTGCCAATCACATACAAGGATTTTTTTTACAAGGCCCTGCCTTCTGAAATCCAACCACTATGGCTCAGTACCAGACTCATGTGTGAAGTGCAGCGAACTACATGGGTCTGGCGAGAGTCAGGCTACCTAAATCTCCCCTTGCATTAAAAATGTCTGTTGGTTGAGCACAAAAGTAAAATGTTGTGAACAAATCAAACAGAACACACCACGACAGGCGTCTTGTCTTTTATGTTGCATAGAGCCTTGTAAGTCATTATTTGACTTTTTGGGCTGAGAGTGGATTTTTTTCCACAGTTAGTGCCATTTTGTTGCCAATCTCTTGTTAACCTATTGTATTGAGAAATATTTGGGAAAGATTCAGATTCAGATTGTTTATTTGCCATTTGCAGTAAAAAAACCATATTGGAATACATTAGCAAAATGTCTCCAGTGTGCACAGACAAATACAGACATAAAACAACATTAAAAGACAGAAATAAAACAAATAAAACAGTAAACAAATGTCACTGTGGAATCACAGATTTTTAGCTGTCAGTTAAAAAGCTAAAAATCAGAATTTTCACAAAATCGATCGACTAAAACAGTTTCAAAACAAGTGTAAATCATTAAAGTGCTCTGTTCACACTGATAACAGCTCTTTGTGGATAAAAACTGTTAGCGTAACGAGATGTCCTGCATCTCAGAGAGCGATATCTTCTGCCAGAGGGAAGAAGCTGGAACATGGCATTCCCAGGGTGGCCAGAAGAGTCATTAACAATCCTAAGAGCTTTGTTTAAAAGTCTGGATTTATAAAGAACCTCCAGAACAGGAAGCTCACAGCCCACGGTCCTCTTTGCAGAGCGGAGCACCTTGTTTAAAGATCTCTTTTCTTTATCTGTGATGTTTCCAAACCACACAGACACAGAACCAACAAGTAAACTCTCAATGGTGCAGCGATAAAAGTTAAGCAGAATCTTAGAGTTAGTGGTAAATTCTCTAAGTTTACGCAGAAAGTAGAGACGCTGACGAGCTCGGTCAGTGTTTTTAACCCATTTCAGGTCGTTAGACAGAGTTAAACCCAGAAACTTGCACTCCTCTACGATCTGCACCTGGGAGTTGTCGATTACGACAGGCAAATGAGAACTATTGCGACTGAAGTCGTAGACCAGTTCACATGTTTTCGATGCGTTCAACTGGAGGTTGTTAGTTTTACTCCACTGAACCACATTTTGTATCTCTGCTCTATAAGAGGATTCATCATTGTCACTGATGAGACCGATGATAGAGGTGTCATCAGCATATTTGATGATCAAGTTTGAGTCAGAGGAGGACACACAATCGTGAGTGTACAAAGTAAAAAGCAAAGGACTCAAAATACATCCCTGAGGAGAACCAGTGCTCACAGAAACAACATCAGAAAAACAGTCATTGATTTTCACTCTGAGATCTGTCAGTTAAAAAGCTAAAAATCCATTTACACATGGCAACACTTAAACCGAGAGACATGAGCTTTTCAATCAGTTTACCTGGGACAAGGCAGTTAAAAGCAGAGCTATAATCAATGAAAAGCATTCTCGCGACAGATTTACTAGTGTCCAAGTGACTGTAGACAGAGTTCAGAGCAAAGGAGATGGCATCCTCCACACTCCTGTTCTGTCTGTAAGCAAACTGGAGCGGGTCAACACTCACAGGGATCTGGCTCTTAATGAAGTCCAGCACAAGCCGCTCAAAAGTTTTCATAAGAACAGACGTGAGGGCCACGGGTCGATAGTCATTCAGGCATGTCACAGGAGTTTTCGCAGGAACTGGAATGATGGTCGACTCTTTAAAGCAGTTCGGCACAGTACAGTTCCTTAGCGACAGGTTGAAAATGTCTGTTAGCACAGGGGCAAGTTGCTCAGAGCACAGTTTCAGGACACGAGGAGGGATGCCGTCCGGGCCTGGGGCTTTCCAGACTATGGTCCTGGACAAGACACGCCTGACTTCCTCCTGAGTCACGGGGAAGGTACCTTGATTGAAACACTCAGGGAATACAGTAGGACAGGCATCAGCGGATTCGAAGCGACAGAAGAACGTGTTCAGCTCGTTTGGCAGAGCTTGGCCGACAGATGCAATTTTCCCAGCGCTAGGTTTCCACGATGTGATGGCTTTAATACCGTTCCACATGCGCCGAGGGTCATCTTCCTCAAAATAACTCTTTAACCTGTCTCCGTAACTGCGCTTTGCAGATTTAATAGAACGTTTCAATGAGTAACAGGATAGCTTATAAGCAACTGTATCATTTGATTGAAACACCAACGCACGCTGATGAAGTTTCAGTTTCACTTCCGCGTTCATCCAAGGGTTTTGACTAAAATGTTCTTTAATGACCTTCTGTGGGACACAACACAGAAGCTCCCTTCACGTTACTGTAGCAGTGATCCAGAACATGTGCTCCTCTTGTAGCTTGAGTCACATGTTGGTAAAAGTTCGGGATGTACAGTCTTTGAATTACATTTATTGAAATCCCCAGCAACAATGATGACTGCGTTAGGATGAGCAGACTCATGTTTGTGAAGGATCTGGCTCAGATCCTGTAGGGCTACTTTGTAATCCGCACGTGGGTGGATGTAAACAGATAAAAAGATAAAAAGGGCGGCAGCTCAAGACCAGGCATTCCAGATTGGCAGTACATGTTTGGTTCACGATTCGAGTATCCGTGCACCAGCGCTGATTAATTAAAAAGCACACACCTCCGCCTCTGGCCTTGCCCGTGGTCTCCTTCACTCTGTCCGCGCGGTGAATCCCGGGGGCTGAACATCAGAGTCCGGGACGTTCGTGCAGAGCCATGTCTCGCTGAGGCAGAACACAGCACAGTCCCGGGCCTCGCGCTGGCTCTTGACCAGACACAGGAGCTCGTCCGTCTTGTTGGGCAGAGACTGGACCAGGTAGATGGAGGGCAAAGGGGTCCTGGAGGAGCGGCTTCGAACGAGCAGACCGCCTCGCCTTCCCCGGTGTCTGCGCCTCCTTTGCCGACTCGAGGTGCCCAGCTCCACACCGCGGAGAGAACGCCGGAGACGCTCGGTCCGCTCGCTCTGTTGGCGGCCACCGCCGCGGCCCGCCTGCCGTGCTTCCCGGGCCTCTCGAGTGGGACACAGGAGGAAGTTTATGCACCTCAGTTCGGGTAGTACGAGTGACCCGTCACACGCAAGGTCCCGAATGTTAAGAAGCGCCTCTAGGTCATACTTCACAGTGGCAAGTGACTCAAAGACAAACAGCAACAAAACACAAATTGTGCACACTAGCGCTCTCACTGCGGCGCCATGACACAGCGCCATCTTGCTCAGTCCCTCAGTCAAACGTCAAGTAACTTTTGACTTGGAAAAAAAGTAAAAAAGGCAAGTGGCTGACAAAGCTTAATGTCAAGGCCTAGTGTAACTCCAGAAACCCTATTCATGATTCTGGCCTCAAACCTGGTTAGGGTTCTAGCCTGGTATTGCTGGGTTGCAACCACGTGACCAAAAGGGGGCGTGGCATGGGGCCGTAGGACAGGAAGTATTTTTCTCCTATTAAATAGAATGGGCGACGCGCGAAAACGCACACACAGGAGCTTTTTGTGGCTTAGTATCACTCTTATTGAGTGAAAACTATTTTCAATGTAGCGTACGCCTTGTAGAGTTGGAATGAGACCATTTTTTTTTAACAATGAGGAGGATTAAGCAGCTGTTTCAGTGACGACAGTGGAGCCCACCACTCTTGTATAAACAGAACCACGTCTGAGATGATAGTTCTGATCAATAACTCAATAAACAGGGCACAAATTTGAGGCGAGAAATATGACCATTTATTGTCATTTCGGTGAATAGTTATGCTCCGGGGGGACTCCGGCTAACAGCAGTAAGCTTACAGCGGGGAGCAGCAACCATCGCAGCCGTCCTGTGGGCACGGAGCTTGGATACAATTTCAGACATTACCCTGGTCCTCACAGTCCCAGACCCTGGTCCTCACAGTCCCAGACCCTGGTCCTCACAGTCCCAGACCCTGGTCCTCACAGTCCCAGACCCTGGTCCTCACAGTCCCAGACCCTGGTCCTCACAGTCCCAGACCCTGGTCCTCACAGTCCCTGACCCTGGTCCTCACAGTCCCAGACCCTGGTCCTCACAGTCCCAGACCCTGGTCCTCACAGTCCCAGACCCTGGTCCTCACAGTCCCAGACCCTGGTCCTCAGTCGTGGGAATAACGATGAACAATGACTCTTGTAACACAATGGCTAGAATATATGTGAGAAGACTGATTGTAAAGCTTACTATTAGCTTTGTTACACATGTACATGTTGGTTTGAGACAACTTTTGGCATTAAAATATGTATTTAACAGTTCTTTCTCTCTGTTCCCTTGGTTACTACAACCGTAAACCACACAAAAATACTGCATTGTATCAATGAAGGTCAGCAAAGTAAAGACTGTAGACTCATCTATCTCTGTGGCTGCAGATGCTACGCATGCTAATGCTATTGCTAGCGCATTTCTCCTGTTCCTTATTAGGCATTTTCCTAAAAATCAAAACCTGTTAGTGAAATACATTTTAGCAAAATAGAGACTCCATAAGTTCCCCACTTGATATGAGCATTTGCTACAACTGTACAAGCCACAGAAAAAGGGCATTTTGACTCGGAATCAGTGAATTTTTACATTGTTCCTAATGGGGAGATTTACTTCCTGTCCCTCGGAGCACTCTCGCGCTGCTGCGTGACGTCAGGTGCAACCCAGCAATAAGTGTGGTCTGGCCTGGGTCTGGGTCCAGGACTTACTTTGAGCGGTCGGAGACTCCAGGCGGTCACGGATCTGGCTCGTAAGGCTCTGGATAAGGCTGTAGACCTGGTCACAGGTCTGGACCGGGTTCTGGACCAACTTCATGGAGTTCACCAAAGATGGACTCTTGGTGGGAGCCAGCTGCAAGATAGACCAGGTTCAGTCCTGGTCCTGGCTCCAGTTCGTCTCTCCCTTACCTTGTCGTAGGTTTCTGGGCTGAAGTCCTGGTCTTGCTGAAGGACCTGGTGCAGTCTGGTCTTAACTCGGTTTTGAGAGTCCGACAGACAGTCTGAGTCCAGAAGTCCGTTCATATTAGCACTCTTCACCATCTGAACCAGGATCGGAGTCAGCTCCCCCTCCAGCGCCAGGAGACCCTAGAACCAGGAAAAGGTCTGAACCTGGTCTAGAACAGGTCTGAAACAGGACTAAACCCGGTCAGAACCAGGACTCACCTTGGCGAAGGCGGCTGCGGTCATCTGGACTCGTCCTTCATCAGAAGCGTAGATCTTCAGATCGTGTCTATAGGTCGAGTGGAGCCTGAGGAGACCACATCCTGGGAACCCTGCATAGTCCCCTGAAACCAGACCAGAGACGGGTTAGACCAGGACCAGGACCAGAGACCAGGGGTCGGGTTAGACCGGGACCAGGACCAGGACCAAGACCAGAGACCAGGGGCCGGGTTAGACCCGGACCAGGACCCTAGACCAGAGACCAGAGACCGGGATAGACCAGGACCAGAGACCAGAGATCAGGTCTGGGGACTTGATGAGAGGATGATTGGGGCAAATATTAGCAGCGTCTCCATCACTGCTGCAGGACACTGACCTCTGACCCTCACTCATATCCTAATCCCACAACGCAGAGTATGTTTGGCTTTAAGTCGGTTCACAAACTGGAATTCTGGCCAATTCCTCTGGATTTCATGAGGACCCTCTACATCAGGGGTGTCAAACCGGTTCCAGAAAAGGCCGGTATGGCTGCAGGTTATAGTTCTGAGCAGGAGCACAACAGTCTCCACTAATTTCCCCAGGTGAGTCCAGTTATAACCTAACGATTTGAGGACCGGTTTGTCTGTGCTCTACATGGAGAAACTCTGGTGACCTCTAACCATAGGGTCAGAGGTCGGAGGTGACCCTGAGCGCCTTGTGAGGATAGATCTTTTACTGCAGCAGTGACGTGAGGCTGATGCTGATTGGCTGCAGATCACATGCCCCATCACATGACCATGCTGAGGTCACATGCTCTTATTACACACATCACATGACCAAGATTAGAACCCCGCCCCCCAGTGAACGGAAGTGCAGCCGCAGAGCCATATAAGGACAGGGTCACCACGGAGACGCCCGAATAGAAGGGGCTGTAACCAAGGAGATGGCCGGATGGGAGGGGCGCCGATACCATGGAGACATCCAAATAGGAGAAGTGGCTGTTACCATGGAGACACCCGCATAGAGGGAGGGGCTGTTACCACGGAGCACCCCATATAGAAGGAAGGCCTGTTACCACGGAGGCTGCTGTATAAGTGGAGGGTCACCATGGAGACGGGCATATATGGCTCTGTGGGCGGAGTTAGAGGGTCCACCAGGGCACAGGGCAAGTGTTCGGCCAATCACACATTGCCATGTCATCGTGAGCTGATTCAATCACAGCGGCCGGATCAGAGCGAAGACGGGGCTTACCAATGGGAGACTCGTTTCCACGGAGGCGACGGTTACTGGCTTTTAGCGAAATAAAAGAGAGCGTTAGAAAGAGTCAGTAGTCCTCCCAATGCATGTTTGTGTGCCGCGGGGCAGAGGTCAGAGGTTGGTCAGAGTGAGGGTTTGAGGTCAGAGTGAGGGTCATGTACACACAAACATACACGCTCACACACACACACACACAAACACAAACACAAACACACACACACACACACACTCACACTACCTTGTCCTCCTGGATACATGCAGCGGAACGCCCGTCCCAGTTCTTCAGCCTGAACTCTGCCGGCTGGGGTCAGCTCCCCACCCCACTTCAGGACCAGCAGCAAAGAGGGGCCCCCAGGGGCCACATCTTTCAGACAGTCTGTGAAGAAGAGACACTGAGAACCAGGAGAAGGTGTAGTAGCAGTACTGGTAGCGGTAATACTAGTAGCAGTAGTAGCAGTAGTTGTAGTAGCAGTAGTAATAGTAGTACCCTCTTCTCCGCTGGACGCCTGAGGTTTGCCTGTTCTCAGATATGTGAGCTGCACTTTCCTGTTGATCCCAGAGAAGTGACCGTACCTGAAAAAACACGGAAACAAGCTTTATTTTTTTTAACAAGCACTGATCCAACACTTAGAAAGGACTGATGAGGATGACTGAGGACTGAGGAGGGAGGAGAGTAAGTGAGAAAGTAATCTTCATTAAGAGAGAGGAGAGATCACATGCCAAAAAGGTTTGGTTTCTGACTCAAACATACTGAGAATCATTCAGACTGGACTCCCTGAGGAGGACAGCAGCAGGACAGCAGGAGGGCATCAGGATGACAGCAGGAGGAGGACATGACAGGAAAGACAAAGACAAAGAATCAGAGGAGTAGCAGTCTGTCTGAAACATGCAGGTGATAGAAGCAGACAGAGAGCACTGCTGTGCTTAGAAAGTGCCTTACCCCAGCTTTAGGGGCACTTACATTTCCAGCACCGTTTTGAGTTGCTCCAGTTTGGACTTTTTTTCCTCAATCTCACAGTCTGTGTGCTGCACCAACTCCACCAGCAGGAGGCGAGCAATGTCCAGAACTTCCTGAAGATAGAGACAAGAATGAGAGAGAGCAGAGAAAGAGCAGAGAGAGAGCAGAGAGAGAGCAGAGAGAGGTTAGTTTTACCCTACTGATGATGTGTTGTCGCAATAGTAATCCTGCTCCTCCTGATCCTCCTGAGACCAAAGAGAGAGACCAGAGAGAGACTAGAGAGAGACCAGAGTGAGACCAGAGAGAGGACTTTTTTCTGACCTGCAGTTGCTTGGGTTTCTTCAGCTTCAGTTTTCCACTTTTAAATCCTCCGTATTTTTCAAACAGTTCAAAGAACCTGAAACAAGTATTCAGTTATCTTGGTCTAGTCCTTGTCTAGACCCGGCCCTGGTCTGAAGCTGGTCTGTAATTCCACACACTCACAGTGGGTGGCGCACTTCCATCTTCATCTTCTGCTTTGGTGTCCGGTCTCCGTGACGAATGACAGCAATGACACAACGCAGCTCCATCCTGCAAACAGGAAGTAATGTTTTAAAAAAGCTAAAAATTCTTGATTTGAACAGTTATCAGATCTTTACGGATGCCTCATTTTCAAAGTTTTAAATGCACTTGCTCCTTCGCCACTGAATAAATTCATACACAAAAACATAATGGACAAAGAATTAGAGCCTTAACTACAGGTGATTGCAATGTACCGAGGTGGTCGTCTCTGTAGAGGAACGCAGTCCTGGAACAAGTTACCATCGCATATCAGAAACTGCGATAACGACTCACTTTAAAAAAAAATAAAAAAAACTCTAAATATTGGATAAATGTTTACAAATTAAGAACAACAAACAAAGTTCTGCTCATGCGCGGCTATGGCTCATGAAATATAAGGCAGCGAAGCATACATCAGATACAAACCTACTCCAAAAGTGGACGTTTCCATGGAGACAAATGTATGATCCCTACTAGGGTTGCCAACTTGAGATCAGAAAAATAAGAGACATCATTTGGGTGGATCGGGTTGAGCACTTTTTAGTCCTAATTTCAATCTACACAGGAATCATGGAATTTCATAATTACAGTTTTTAGAATGTAATTTATTGACTACATATAAAAAACCAAATCCTTCAAAATTTCAAAAATGAAATTAATGCATGCTTATTAGTCATAAAAGATATTAAAAAAAAGAGACAAATGCTGTAAAATGCATTATTTATTCACAAATGTTTACATCAAAGTTTGTAGCAGTTAGATATGATCCAATATTCATAGTGTCTGAAAGTTTTGTGCGTGTACATAACTTCCCGTAAAAGCTATTGTTTGTTTACAAAGCTCGTCTTAACATTTGTTGCTGCTCCCTAAGCGCTTTTCTCGGGGACGCTACTTTACCAAACTTCTGCCGTGATAATGCTGCGGCCGCGGCCCACGCTGGCACTTGTGAACATTAGCCCATGGATGTGATCAAGTCTACGCCCCTTTGACACCGATTGTCCGAAAGGTAAACGCTTAAAATGTGATTACTGTGTTTGTGCGTATGTCACGCGTGTGACATGCAGTGAGTGAGTGATGCATTTAAGGCAACTCTGAAAATACGGGACAAAAGCCGTCCCGTATTGACGGGACGCACATAATTTTTCTAAAATACGGGACAATTCCGTATTTTAAGGGACGGTTGGCAGCCCTAATCCCTACGCTCCCTACCACGCCATTGTGAATTTGGACACCTCTAATCCCTAATTAGAAGTGCAACGGTTCATCACTGATCCGTGATTCGGTTCGGTACATATGTGATCCGCGGTTTAGACAGAAAAAGACAACACTTTTTTATTTTGCTGACTCAATAAATGAACCGAACCGTGACTTTGAACCGAGGTACAATCCGAACCGTGGTTTTTTTTTCAAACTGTTGCACTCCTACCGGCAATTGAAAGCTGTAGGTTCTTTGTCAGCTGAGGTCAAGCCATATTAGTTCACATCGTGTTCTATTGGACATTTTTCTGGGTAGCCCAGACAAATATAGTCGACAGTACAGCTAGGGTGGGACGGCTATAAGCTAGTAATACTCTATCCAGTTATTATAATAAATCCATGGTAACTGCTCAGTTCTGTCACTTCAGTCTTGCAGGCCTGCTGTTTAGCCACTCCTACCACTGGATGGGAGTGTTGCTCCTGCAACGTTTCTTACTCTGTTAAACACGTGTCTCACTCACATGGTTCCTGAGGTTGTTGGGACAATGGGGATGTCTTCAGACTCAGGAGGCAGAGACCAGGGCAGGTGGAACTGGGGCGCTAGCAACCGCATCACCAGGTTACTATGGAGACAGCACACACAACAACCAGGTTACTATGGAGACAGCACACACAACGACCAGGTTACTATGGAGACGACGCACATGAGGCCTCCAACATGAGGTCTACATGAAGTCGACATGTACAAGTTTTGAATGCGCTGGAAAACAGCTGCAGGTCCTAAGTAGCTCTGAAACAGTTCAATCAATCAAACTTTACTTATAAAGCGCTTTTCATACAATAAAATGCAACACAAAGTGCTTTACAGCTGAGCCAAAATCAATACAACATGCCCAATAAACCCCAAAGACCCACCCATAAACCAACCTAATTATTAGATATATATGCGCATGCACACGCACACACGCACACGCACACAAACGTAAAATAGGTAAAACTATGAAAAGATATAGGGTTGGGTGCAGAGGTATCCAGCTGAAGAAGCGCCATCCAGGGAGCCATCTGCACCAGGAGCAGAGAGCCGCTTGCAACCACAGGGGACGACACAGGACCCAGAGGAGAGAGGAGGCCCCAGACCTCCCACCAGGTCCTCATAGGACCCGGAGGAGAGAGGAGACCCCAGGCCCCTACCAGATCCAAAAGCCAGACCCCCGCAGCCACATTAGACCGCTGCTCCCAGTGCAGAGGGCTACTCCAGAGGAAACACTGGGGATACTAAAACAATACAATAAAGAGTAAAACAGCTACCTAAAATTAAGTGACAAAACAGAATACCTAAAATTAAATAAATAAATAAGAACCAAACTAAGATCTGTCCAAAACATAATAAATACTAATCAAAAGCTAATCTAAAAAGGTGTGTCTTGTGCTTTACAATTTTTATTTTGTTGCTGCAGTACAGTGTTCATGGTTTTACACTGTCCCAGACCAGAGCAGAGAGGATTCATGGTCCAAACCAAGTGGATCAGGTGATAATCCACTGGAGGAATGCTGACTTTTTTGAAAATGCTTATGAAGCATTTAGCATTCTACTTTGGACTATCCATCCATCCATTTTCTTCCCCTTAATCAATTTCTGGGTCGGGGGGGTGGCAGTCAGAGCTGCACCCAGTACACAGAGTACCAGCCCCTCACTGATCCTCCTGCAGGTGGTGAGTCCACAGGAGCTGAGATCTTTCAGCGGGAGATTCAGGCAAAGTGGGGTTAAGTGTCTTGCCCAAGGACACAACGACAGCGGTCATCAGTGGGAGTCGTGAAGTAGGTCTTATGGTGGGCTTGAACCCACGACCTTCAGGCCCAAAGGCCAATGCTCTACCAACTGAGCCCTAGCTGAGGGCTCAGCCCTAGCTACTTTGGACTAGAGCAGAGAAAATGGTCTGAACCAAGCGGCTACTCCACCTTGTGAGCTGTCCAGCTCCACCCAGAGGCTACTCCACCTCTGCTGCTGTGACCCGCCTTGCTGCACCCAGAGGCTACTCCACCTCTGCTGCTGTGACCTGAAGGGCTGTTGCTGATTATTCCTATGGATAGCTTTTTAGAATGATTTTGTTTTTTATTTTTGCTGCTACTAGACACCTGAATTTCTCCTATGGGGATCAATAAAGTATCTTTCTATCTATCTACATGAGGTCTACATAAGGCCTACATGAAGTCTACATGAGGTCTACATGAGGTCTACATGAGGGAGACATGAGGTCTACAACACATGACCAGATCAAGACCCAGTTAAGACCTGACCAAATCAGACCCAGACCCAGGCCTAGACCACAAGACCAGAAATACCAAAGACAAGATCAGTTTTACAACCCCTCTGTAGATCCGGTTACAGACCTGGATTATCCCAGTTCTAGACTCTCAGCTGTGGCACTTTTACTGTGTGTTTATGGCTTCTGTCACCACCAACGTACACACGTGTTTGCAGGAGTACTTTAATATAGCAGTTGTACTTATAGAACTGATAGGGCAGTACTAGTACAGAACTGCAGTAATAATAATACATTGGTTTTATATAGCTCTTTTCTGGACAGCATTATTCCTTCACTCCAAAAAACAGTGATAAACTACTACTGTAGCCACAACTGCCCGGGGGCACACCAACAGAATAGAGGCAACCAGACTGTGCAATTGGCCCCTCCCACTACCACCAACCATCCACACACACACTCCAGACTCATTCTAATGTGGGTGAAGTGTCTTGACTAACAGCTTGTACACACCGCACGTGCAGCAGAGTGACGCAAGCCTCACCAGGAGGCTCGCATCATGCGCCTGTGTATGAGGCGTGCAAAGCGCGCAGGGACTTGGCTTCTGATGCAGAGCAACAAAACTCACATGTATGTGTTTGTCCTTATGGTCTTTGTGAGCTGGTGAGACCAGAATCACTGTGAAACCTGCCAGCCCTTCTCCTAATGTTTAGATACAGTGCTGTGTGTGGAGCTGAACTAGTGCAAAGGACCGCTAGCAAAAACATGTCTCCCATGTGTTTTGACTGGGAGACGCGTCATTGCACAAGTAAAAATATGCACCACTACGCTCGTCTCCTTTTGCGGTGTGTAGGTCCTCGCTGCTATGCAAGTATGTCCACTTCACATGACGCGTGCGCGTATACGAGCACAACCATAGTTTAGCACTTTACAGCCGCAGCCGCCCCACTGTGGCACTTGGTGTTTGCAGAAGTCTTCCATCACAGAACTAATCAGAGGTCTGAGGGATCTGGCTTTTACCTACAGGTGGTGCCGCTTCATAGTACTAATATAGGATATGTAGTAGTAGTAGTACTTGTAGTAGTATTAGTACTTATAGTAGTAGTAGCACTTGCAGTAGTAGTACTTGTTGTAGTGCTTGCAGTAGTAGTAGTAGTAGTAATTGTCATAGTAGTACTTGGAGTAGTAGTTTTTGCAATACTTGTAGTACGTACCCCAAGACCTTGGCGCAGTCGTCGTAGTACTTCATGGAGTTCTTGACGAAGCTGAAGCCATTGACATCGCAGACAAAGGAGTGACCGTTCGCTCTGAGGAGGTCGAAGCCACACACTGTCTGCTGCAGAGAGACATACAGCTTAAGTATCCATACCCCTCTGCAGTAGAGAGAAAGAGCATAAGCACCCTCTGTCAGGGTAAGCCCCTGACAGAGCAAAAGTATCCATACCAGAGATCATTGCCCCCCTCCCTCACACTGATGAGCAGTGCCAGTATTTGTCTAACACAGGGGACAGTGTTGTCTGAGTGGCATCTGCAGGGACTGTGTGTAGTCTGTGGTTCTGTGGACTCTGTGGTCTCTGTGGTCTGAGCGGCGTCTGCAGGGACTGTGTGGTCTGTGGTTCTGTGGCCTCTATGGTCTGTGGTCTGAGCGGCGTCTGCAGGGATAGTACCTTGAAGGCCAGGCAGACCTTGCGGGCGATGAGTTTCTCGATGGCCGTCAGCATGACCGGATACCGCACCTCTTTCCCCTCACTGTCCCGCTCCACCTTCCCATCAAGCGCTGGGGACTTACGGGCCTCAGCGTGGGCATAGTCCGGACCGACCGTGTACACCTAAGGTTTGAGACACATGAGGTGTCACCCCGGGCCGTGTACACCTGAGGTATGCTATTGAGATGCTAATGACAATACCTTGACATCAGTTCCGTCTGTCGGCATAAACTCTTCATAGATGTAGGAGCCGGTTTTCCTCACGCTGCTCTCAGGAGAATAAACACTGCTCCTGCTGCCGATCTGAGGGAAAGACATGTTAGCATTAGAATGCTAAGGTTTGCATTTTCTCAGGAAAATACACTGCTTCTGCTGCCAATATGAGCGAGATGTGTTAGTATAGTAGCATTAGTATGTTAATGTTAGCATTAGCATGTTAGCATTAGCATGTTCGAATTAGCTCGCTCACCTTCCGGAACAGGCGCTGGCTACCGCCACCTGCTGATGTAGGGTAGTAGATGTAGACGTTGTGGTCTTCGGCACACACCGGTTTCTCCACAAACGGTTTGTGGAACACCTCCCCGTTCACTTCCACATGGTCCTCCCCCTCCACAAGACTGCACTCTGCAAGACCCAAAACCAGGTCAGAAACAGGACTGGACCAGGACTGGACCAGACCAGGACCGGACCAGGACTGGACCAGACCAGGACCAGACCAGGACTGGACCAGGACCGGACCAGACCAGGACCGGACCAGGACCGGACCAGACCTGGACCAGACCGGGATCGGACCAGACCAGGACCGGACCAGACCAGGACTGGACCAAGACTGGACCGGACCAGGACTGGACCGGACAAGGACTGGACCGGACCAGGACTGGACCGGACCAGGACTGGACCAGGACTGGACTTGACCAGGTCTGGAGTTACCTTGTGGGTGGGCGGGGTCTCGGTTCAGTACAGCATATCGCGGCAGGTCAATTCCCTCTTCACGAAGGATCCGGTAAACCTCCCTCCTGAAGAACACAGAAACCAAGCAGTAGCAGTAGGAGTAGTAGTAGTAGTAGTAGGAGGGGTAAGAGTAGGAGTAGTCGAGGTAGTAGAAGTACTCATACCTGTCCTGGATGTAGTACTGCATGTCTAGATCGTTGATGAGTAGAGGATTCCTGAGTTTTGAATATTGCACAGCTTTGTCCAACGGGAAACCTGCAAGAATACTGCAGTATTACAGTATTGAAGTGCCACAGTACCACAGTACTACAGTACTACATTACTACAGTACCACAGTACCATGTTTCTGTGAAACATGGTAAAAACATTGTTTTTAAAACAATGTTCCTGTGGGTCAGCAACATTATTTTTAAAACTGAAAATGTTGCCTCTTGGTCCTAGCCTCAGCCGCAGTCCTGGTCTTGGGTCCTGGTCCTGGTCTCAGTCTTGGTCTCAGTCCTGGTCCTGGTCTCACCCTTGGAGTGGAAGGAAACCAGGACGTCGCAGAGGGGCCAGGTTTCTGGTTCTTGTTCTAAAATTACGTCTTCGGGGAAAACGCAGACGTGGATGAAGTGGAAGCCACAGAGTCTCTCCAGGATCTCCACCATCGGCTTTGAGCGAGACTTCTTAGTCATAGCACACACTCCCACCACTATGTGACGCTGTAACCATAGTAACACATGTATTTATGTTGCACACACTCCCACCACTATGTGGCGCTGTAACCACAGTAACATATTTATGTAGCTTGTGACATGCTGCAGTTTAGGCTGACTGCTCCATGTACCAGTATCATGGGAGAAAGCTGCTTCTCCTACTTTCAGTTCCACAATAGGAGCAACAGGTGTAATGTGAGGTCTGTAACAAGTGTGGTCAGAGTTTATCTGGTCCTGTCCAAAGTCCACAGTCTGTGATAAAGTCTCAGATTACAGCAGGACAGAATTCACCTCCTCCAGGTCCTCCAGGTCCTCAAAGTCTTCCAGGTCCTCCAGGTCCATTGAATCCCCAGACTCTAGACCGGGGTCTTGATTTAGGTCCTGGTTTAGACCTAGGTCTTGCTCGTGGTCCTGGTCCATATTTAGGTCCCGCTCTTGGTCCTGGCCCAGGTTCTGGTTTAGGCCCTGGTCCTGGCCCTGGTCCTGGCCCTGGTCCTGGTCCATGGGTGTTAGACCTTCGGCGTTTGGAGACTGGTTAAATGCATCGCCATAGTCTTCTTGTAGCCTAGCATGAAACCCCGCCCCGTTTGAGACATCACAATTACATCACAGCGCCTGGTCCCGCCTCCTCGCAGGTGAGGCCAGAGTCCAGGTGAGTCATGGACCAATCAGAGCCCAGCAAAGCCCTAAACAGACAAACATGAGGCTAAAACATACTGATACTGCAAATGTCCTAGTGGTGGTACTACTACTACAGCTACTACAACAACTACTACTCATTTCTCTTTTTGTTACTGTTGGCACTTTACTTTTCTGTTCAAACTACATGTTATTTAAGTTAATTGTTGTGAACAAATCAGACCGCAACATGCTGTCATCAAGTGTGAAAGACAGAGCCCTGTAAGTCACCATTTGACTCATTGGGCTGAGAGAGATTGGTCTCTTTCACTTTTCTGTCAGAAGCTGGCAACGGCCAGAAAGAGATGTGAAAAAGCAGCTAGACGCAGTTTCGTACCCCATCTTTAAATCTGACACACAGCCAGATTATATTACACAAAATAAGAGCATGTTGCCCGTGTCTCATCTCTTCTCCATCACCACCTGCTCAGCCAAAAGCGTCATCTGACTCCCACGGCTCCAACAGGTCTTTGTCATTGTTTCGTGGTGGAGCTTCAGTTTTAGTCTATACATCTGCACACGGACTCTGGACCAGGTCTGGCCCGGCCCGGTCCAAGCCCGGGTCTGATCTGGTCTGGGACTGGTCCGGTCCGGGACATCGGAAAGTCCCGGAAAGAGACGATTTCTCCGGAACACAAACTTGATAAAGTCACGAGGCGCGCTCCTGCCACTCACCTGCGCGCGTGCGCGTGGCCAGGGTACAGGTCTGCTTAACGGGGACTGCGGGTTGGTTCTAGTCCTGGTTTAGAGCAGGTCTGGCACTGATCTGGATCCAGTCTAGTCCTGGCCCAGCTTCTTGGTCTTTACACTTGTGACTAAACTTCTCTTTGAGGTCACCGCCTCTTCTCGCGAGAGCTGTAGCTGAGCACGAGACTGTTTGTTTTGGTTGTAAATAAAGTTGAGGCATGTGCGTGGCTCCACCTGCTGGAGTTAGGCGGTCATGACCATTGTCAATGAGACCAGTTTAATGGAGTAATGCATGGATCTATAATAATATCAGGGTAATGGACATGGATCTATTATGGGTAAAGGTAAGAGACGGAAGGATGAGCAGTCTGTCCATGATGTCACGGTGAAGCCTGATCCTGTCAGACCTCTGAAGCCTGGTTAGAACACCAGGTGCCAAACTGTGGTTGTGTCCTTAGGCAAGACACTTCTGCCGTGTGTGCGTGTGTTTGTGTGCGTGTCCGTGTGTGCGTGCACATGGAGGTAAACAACACACAGACAGGAGTTACTCATTTATTAAGACTCATTACTTTGGTCTCTGATCTTCAGTTTAAGACGACAGGAGTGTAAGAGGACATCCAAAGAGACATATAAGGGCTTACGTCTCCATGGTCACCACTACAGAGGAGACCGTCGCCATGGAGGCCGCACGCCTGTATAAGGCTCTGTGGTTCTGATCTAAAGGCACTGACTACATTTACATAAAGTGTCTCATTTTGCATAAAAGTTAAAACGGCAATGTTTTAAGACCTAAGGTTTCTCCTGATTGGCTCGAACACAGGGCTCCTCCCTGATTGGCTCGTACAGTGTGGTAGTATTACTTTACAAAGTGATAACTGCTTAAAAAACTCATTTGCATAATGTAATCTTGACATAATCTTTCATGTGGAAAGTAACTGTATTCTGAATACTGACTTCCCCTGGCAACAGCTGGGTCCAGGTCCATGACAAAGACCAGGGCTATACCAGGTCTCCGGGCTGAAGTCCATGTGTCCCTGCAACAGGAGTCTCTAAAGGGGCGGGGCTATCTCTGAGAACAGCAGTCCATTGGCTGAGATGGCGTCTCCTAATCCCACAGTTCTGATTGGTCTTTTACAGACAAGCACGGGTGACAGGTGCAGAGTCACGTGACCGTGCTGCCACTCTGTGACTGGCCGGTCGGGGTCTAGTGTTAGCATGTGCGTAGCATTAGCACTGAACGTTAACGGTGTTCTAAGCTGGTGGGCAGTGATTGGCTCAATGTGGCTCCGTCCACACGCCTGAGCACTTGCCGCCCGCGCTCCAGCTGCCGTGCTTGCCGCTTGGTTACCCCAGCGACCCCCCGTCACCACAGCAACCACATGAAAGGGGAGCGAGTGGAAGTGTATCCGTGACAACTGTGACTCGCCATAAACTGCTCCAAATTGTTGCAAAACCCATGACAGCACGTCAGAGGCCACGCCCACCGCCGAGGCCGCCCCCACCTCCGACCACATGACATCAGCATGAGGCCCCTCCACCGAGCGGGACAGGAAGAGCAGCTCCTGTTCGTTTAGACCGAGCGACGAGACCAGAGGGAAGACCTGAAATATAATATTGTATCAATAAATAAAGTAAAAGACATGAAATATACAGTGACAGTGCCACATTTCAGGCTTCAAACATAAAGATATAAACATTAAATTTTTTGTCAAGAATCAACAACAAGTGGGACACAATCGTGAAGTGGAACGAAATGTATTGGATAATTTAAACTTTTTTAACAAATAAAAAACTGAAAAGTGGGGCGTGCAATATTATTCGGCCCCCTTGCGCTAATACTTTGTAGTGCCACTTTTTGCTCCGATTACAGCTGTAAGTCGCTTGGGGTATGTCTCTTTCAGTTTTGCACATCGAGAGACTGGAATTCTTTCCCATTCTTCCTTGCAAAACAGCTCGAGCTCAGTGAGGTTGGATGGAGAGCGTTTGTGAACAGCAGTCTTCAGCTCTTTCCACAGATTCTCGATTGGATTCAGGTCTGGACTTTGACTTGGCCATTCTAACACCTGGATACGTCTATTTGTGAACCATTCCATTGTAGATTTGGCTTTATGTTTTGGATCATTGTCCTGTTGGAAGATAAATCTCCGTCCCAGTCTCAGGTCTTTTGCAGACTCCAACAGGTTTTCTTCCAGAATGGTCCTGTATTTGGCTCCATCCATCTTCCCATCAATTTTAGCCATCTTCCCTGTCCCTGCTGAAGAAAAGCAGGCCCAAACCATGATGCTGCCACCACCATGTTTGACAGTGGGGATGGTGTGTTCAGGGTGATGAGCTGTGTTGCTTTTACGCCAAACATATTGTTTTGCATTGTGGCCAAAAAGTTTGATTTTGGTTTCATCTGACCAGAGCACCTTCTTCCACATGTTTGGTGTGTCTCCCAGGTGGCTTGTGGCAAACTTTAAACAAGACTTTTTATGCATATCTTTGAGAAATGGCTTTCTTCTTGCCACTCTTCCATAAAGGCCAGATTTGTCCAGTGCACGACTGATTGTTGTCCTATGGACAGACTCTCCCACCTCAGCTGTAGTTATCTGCAGTTCACCCAGAGTGATCATGGGCCTCTTGGCTGCATCTCTGATCAGTCTTCTCCTTGTTTGAGATGAAAGTTTGGAGGGACGGCCGGTTCTTGGTAGATTTGCAGTGGTCTGATACTCCTTCCATTTCAATATAATTGCTTGCACAGTGCTCCTTGAGATGTTTAAAGCTTGGGAAATCTTTTTGTATCCAAATCCGGCTTTAAACTTCTCCACAACAGTATCTCGGACCTGCCTGGTGTGTTCCTTTGTCTTCATGGTTCTCACTGCGGTTTAAACAGAACCCTGAGACTATCAAAGAGCAGGTGCATTTATACAGAGACTTGATACACACAGGTGCATTCTATTTATCATCATCAGTCATTTAGGACAACATTGGATCATTCAAAGATCCTCACTGCACTTCTGGAGTGAGTTTGCTGCTCTGAAAGTAAAGGGGCCGAATAATATTGCACGCCCCACTTTCCAGTTTTTTATTTGTTAAAAAAGTTTAAATTATCCAATAAATTTCGTTCCACTTCACGATTGTGTCCCACTTGTTGTTGATTCATGAAAAAAAAATTAATTTTATATCTTTATGTTTGAAGCCTGAAATGTGGCGAAATGTTGAAAGGTTCAAGGGGGCCGAATACTTTCGCAAGGCACTGTAAGTATTATTAGTAGTAGTCTGGTACCTCTTTAATGATGCGGTGCATGAAGCTCGGGTCGGTCATCGAGGCCAACTCAAGATGAACAGGGACAGAGAGCTGAGACAGCAGCGCCACCACCTGGACACAACACATAGCTGAGACTAGAGAGACCAGAGAGAGACCAGAGAGACCAGAGAGAGACCAGTGAGAGACCAGAGAGGATATAGAACTACCACAAAAGACTCACAGCTGGGGATGTGTTTGTGTCTCATTCACGATCGTGAAACATGGCCAATTTCAGTACAACATTGTAAAAATGTAAAGGTTAAGCACAGCTGTAGGTTGCCTCTGTCTTGGTTCAGGTCTCACCTGGTCCAGCCGCCGGTCTCTGGTCTCTGCTTTCAGACCCTCCATCATGTGAAATCCTGACAGAACCATAAGATCCGGTTCAAACTGGTCCAGACTCTGGACCAGAGCCTCGGTGAAGGTCATGTGATTGTTGGACTCGTCGTGAGAGAAGATGAAGCGGTTCGCCTGCGGCGCCACCACCAGAGGGCCCCACTGCTCCCCTAAAAACACACCTCAGGTATGAGCGGCACCTGCAGGGCTTTTGTACCAACTACATCTATACTAGTCCTGGATCTACAGCCTCTATTGCTTGGTTGCAATTGACGTCACGTCCGCCTCATTACTTATGCGTAACACGAAGTGGTGGTCAGTCGAGCTAGTTGTTTACTAGAGCAGCGTGTCTGAATATGCCTTTTGCATGTGTTGTTTTAAGTTTTCTTACCGATCAAATTGCGAAACCGACAATGGATACTTTAGGATTCCTCGTGAAGAGATTAATAAAGAGTCTCGCACTAAGGACTTTACGAAAAGACGCAGAGAAAAGTGGCTCCCTAACATTTCACTAGCAAACACTTTTACATCAAAGGATTATTTATTTACCCAGCCATGCAGTCACAACGTGCAGTTATTACATAATACATCCCCATCTTTTTTTAATTAATTGTCAGGTATGAGTTGGCGTTAGGGATGTAAATCGGCGACCGTTTAACCGGTGGTTGACCGTCACAGCGTTAACCGGTCAAAGCTGTCGGTTAAAAAAGAGAAAAAGGGGAGAGGGGAGGTCTCTTAATAACGCTATTTTAAGCCCTATTTACACGGTGTGACGAGCGGGTCTGTATCTAGCTGTGTGCGCCCATGTATTATAAACTCAGGTGTAACGCCGAGATACACTGTCTTGAAGAGATGCACTGCCTCAGCTGTTTATGATGTGCCGCACGAGCCACATATGCACACACGCATGCGTGCACGCACACACACACACTTTCCCCCTCTCCATACGTAACATCCACACGCATCATCTCTCCCCTCTGTTACCGCCAAAGTTGCACACTGGCACGGGTCAGAACTACATTGGAGCTTACATTTACATACATACACATATACACACACACACATATACATACACACACACACATACATACCGGTCTGTCGCGCTCCTCTGTGTCACGGAGCCCAAAGGATTCGCGCAAATACGCGGCTCCAATCCAACCACATGGAACATGTTTGTGTTTATGGTCCTCGGGATCAGCTCCACACACATCACTTGTATTTAAACTTTTGTGAAGACCTGTGAGACGCGGCTCGTCACTCGCTGCTCTGACCATGTGAACGAGCCGTCGTTTGCTGCTAGAAAGTTTTGGTATTAACCCGCAGCACAGCAGAATGGGAAGATTAAAAAAGCAGTTCTCTGTGCGCAAAGGTGCCGGAGCTGTTGCGGGTTTGGGCGCCGCTGTCTCGGCTCTGATCCAGTAGAACGCTCAGCTGCACTTATGAAAAGTACGCGGCTCGAAATGGCTGTTATTTCAAAGAACGTGGACTATTTTAAACTACGCGGTTAACCGGTTTCAACCGGTTAATGAGGCTCGGTGGTCGGTCATGAAAATTCATAGTTTTTTACATCCCTAGTTGGCGTTTCAAATTAACACTGTGAATGTTTGACCTGAAACGAACACAGGCACATGTTGGTGCATCGGTTTGTTGAGAATGACAAGTTCATTCACCAATCGTTACCTACACGGCTCTTTACGATGCAGGATTTGTCCTTCAGAACCTTAACTCTGAGTTCCTTAATACTGCCTTGTGCATTGTTAGAATGATGAGTTAGAACTTTAACCACAGCAGCTTCAAAGTTTCATGAAATATCCAAAAAAGCACAAAAATACTCAGACGAAGAGTCACATTTTCTAAGCATATCAGCAGCCATTTTTGTTGGTCATACTGTATGTGTATTTTTTGTGTCTTAACTGTTGATTCTCTGATCTGTGTTGATTTCAATGTGATTTCAATATGATTTCTTAAGTTTCTGAGGTGATGCTGTTGTGATTTAGGGCTACACAAGAATAAATTGTATTGTATTGTACCTGTCTGATACTCCATGATCAGGTGGAACTCATCCGTTTCTCTCAGAGACTCTGGAGGAACCACAATCTTCTCTTCCAACAGTTCATGAAGTTTGGGACCAACGGGACCAGAGAGCAAGACCTGTGGAAGACCGGGTGTGAACCATGTTCAGGCAGGGTTTAGACCAGATTTAGACCAGATTTGTAATGAGTTTAGACTTCATTTTACCTCAATGTCAGGACTTGAAGCCAACTTCTGTCCAATCAGAGCTGCATTTCCCCCGACATAAAACTGAAACAGAAGATCAGTCCTGGCCTCATTCCTGGTCCTGGTCTCATTACTGGTCCCGGTCCCATTACTGGTCCCGGTCTCATTACTGGTCCCGGTCTCATTACTGGTCCCGGTCTCATTACTGGTCAGGATCTCATTACTGGTCAGGATCTCAGTCCTGGTCAGGATCAGGAAGGGTCTCAGGCAGGGTCCAGGTCTAGTACCTGGGCTCCCTTTAGTTCCACAGCGGTGACTGCGATGTGGTGGAACAGGTCTCTGTCGGAGAAGAAGCGTTCAGCCGCTGCTCCTCGACTCATGAAGAACTCAAAGGCTTCTCTGAGGTCCTGAAGAGATGAGAGGACTTCGTGATCCAGAGCAGGACCAGAACCAGGACTCAGCCCCAAAGCCTTCAGCAGATCCACTCCAGACACCACCACATCCACACATGAGTTCACCCTGAAACCAAAGAGATAGATCAGGAATAGACCTGAACGGACCTCAGGTGTCCATACTAGGACCCACTATATTCATAACTGTGGGGTACCTCAGAGAAGGTGAGGGTGAGGGTTATGTGAAGTGGAGGGGGAGGTGCGAAACACTCACCCTACAGCGGCTCTTCTCCATCTTCTCTGAGGAGGAGTGATGATGTTCTCCCAGGCCGAGGAAATCCGCTGCTCCAGACTCCGTGTCTGGTCTAGGGTCTGGTCCAGGGTCTGATCCAAGGTCTGATCCAAGGTCTGGTCCAGGGTCTGGTCCAGGGTCCGCTCTGGACTTTGGTCTAAGTTAAACAGAGCCTTGAGATGGCTAAGGCTTAGATCCAGTCCCAGACATGGTCCAGACCCAGTCTGTTGGTGTAGCACCAGCCCCAGAGCCAGAGCCACCAGGAGGACCAGCAGGGGCCACCATCGAGACATATCTAGAGACCTGAACACACAAGAGTCTTCAGTGGGTCTGGTCTTGGTTTCGGTCTCGTTTTCACATAATGTATTTCTGGCCTGTGTCACATCTTTAGATCAGCTTCAGACAGAAAAGTGAAGGCCCATCAGCCAATCAGCATTCAGGCCATAGAGTGAAACAGTGACTCAAAGGGCCCTTTCGTACACAGAAGATGAGGACAGCATGCTGTGTCTGATTTGTTTAGCTTGTCTCTTTCTGTTCAAAGTTCATGTGTTAGATATGAGACTAAAGTTACGTACCCCAGCTTTAAACATGCGCTATTTATGAGGCAAACATAAGTACTCCAGCTTTAAACATTAGTTATTTATGATGCTTAAGTTACATAACCCAAACGCTTTACACTAAAGTAGGTCTAAAGCAGAACTAAAGCAGGTCAAAAGCAGGTCTAAATCAGGTCTAAAGTAGGTCTAAAGCAGGACTAAAGCAGGTCAAAAGCAGGTCTAAATCAGGTCTAAAGTAGGTCTAAAGCAAGACTAAAACAGGTCAAAAGCAGGTCTAAAGTAGGTCTAAATCAGGGCTAAAGCAGGGCTAAAGCAGGTCTAAAGCAGTTCTAAAGTAGGTCTAAAGCAGGACTAAAGCAGTATTAAAGAAGGACTAAAGCAGGACTAAAGCAGTATTAAAGAAGGACTAAAGCAGGACAAAGGCAGGTCAAAAGCAGGTCTACAGCAGGTCTAAAGCCGGTCTAAAGAAGGTCTAAAGCAGGAATAAATCAATATTAAAGAAGGACTAAAGCAGGTCTAAAGCAGGTCTAAAGCAGGTCTAAAGTAGGTCTAAAGCAGGACTAAAGCAGTATTAAAGAAGGATTAAAGCAGGACTAAAGCAGGACTAAGGCAGGTCTACAGCAGGTCTAAAGCAGTATTAAAGCAGGACTGTAAAGGCTAAAGTTAAACTCTGTAACTGGAGCTTCTTCTATAGGTCTGGGGTTAGACTCCTTCAGACTGAGCACTTTATACTGTGTAGACGCGGTTGCAGGACATGGTACTGGACCAAACTGACCTGGAGCTTGGACTGCGGGTCCTTCAGTGCGCTGCCCTCGGCTTTTGCTCAGGTCCTGTCCTTATCCTGGGTCTGGGTTTGGGTCTGGTTGTCCTTGGACTTGTCTGTGTCCCAGTCCTAGTCCTGCTCCTGCTCTTGGTCTAGGTCTGGTCCTGGTGCATGAACATACAGTGAGCAAATGTTCCTGTCTGCACTGTGCACCAGTCACATCCGCGTAACCGTCAGCGCATGCGCAAACCGTCTGGACAGCAGGGCCGGCCCCAGCTGCACAGGGCCCGGGGCACAGACCGGAGGTACAGGAGAACAGAGATGCTTCATGCTCACTCCACACTTCTTCTTCCTCTTCTTATGACGTTTAATGGGCGGTTATGTCCCCAAAGTTCAAAAAATTTTTTTTGAAAGGCATAGATTTTTCTTGAAATGGTTTTAGCTGCTCATCTGAGATTATACATCATATATATTATAAGTACATCTACAAGGGTCCGTGTACTTTTGCTCTTCAATACATTTTCTATTTTTGAAGGGAAATGGAAAATCGAAATAAGGCTATTTTGCATTTTCAGGCAAACAGCAATATATAAAAATAACCATTTTGGTTTTTTTCATTGCTTATAAGACATATATATTATAATAACCGGATTTGGGAACTAGAAAATGCAATAATTAACCTTTTTTTATTATGTTTGTGTAAGCTCTCAGTCGTACAGGGATTAGTCAAAGCAAAGGAAGGTTTCTCACCTATCATCTGTACTTCTTAGCAAGTTTTCCCGACGTTTCGTCCTCAACCTAGCGGACTTCTTCAGGGAATGAATTCTCGGACCGCGCGTTGGAGATTTATAACCTATGGGTGTGGTTAGCCACACCCTAATCCTGATACTAACTCATAAACAATCTACGGTCTGCTTGATGTAGAAGGGAGCAGGTCTAACGACCCTGCTGAGGCTAACGACCCTAACTCCTTAGCATGTCACTGACCTATTGTCTGCTGGGATGCTCAAGTGGAGTGCAGGTCTCACCCCTCCTAACTCATTAGCATGTCACTGACCTTGTCCCAAGTTAGGGCGTTGTTTTTAGGATGTCGTCATAGATGCGAGGCAAAACAAATCTTAACCCTCCTCCTCTGTTAAGAGAAGGTTTTTTGTTTCCTCACAAAAATGGCTTCTTTCACTCCTCTCTCAAACCAATTCTTCTCCCGAGCCAGAATTTTAACCTCTGTGTCATCCACCGTGTGGTTGGAGGCCTTGAGGTGGAGATGAACAGCCGACTGTGGCCCACTAGAGTTTTCTCTACGATGTTGGTAAAGTCGTTTCTGTAGAGTCTGTTTGGTTTCTCCAATATAGTGGTCAGTGCACTCCTCTTCACTACATTTAATTGAATACACCACATTGCTCTGTTTGTGTCTGGGTGTTTTGTCTTTGGGATGCACTAATTTCTGTCTTAACGTGTTGAAAGGTTTGAAATACACAGGGATTTTGTGTTGCCTAAAGATTCTTTGTAGTTTCTCTGAAACTCCCGCCACATACGGTAAGGACACGCCTCTCCTCCTACTTTCTTCTGTCTGTTGGACTGTGTCTCTGGCCTTTCTCGTCCTTTGGGCTTTAGTAAAAGACCACTTGGGGTAGCCACATCTGGAAAGTGCTCTCTGAACATGTTTGGTTTCTCTGTTCTTTCCCTCCGAGCTCGTGGGGACCTGGTGGGCTCGGTGTTGAAGCGTTCTAATGACCCCGAGTTTATGTTGTAGCGGATGATTTGAATCAAAGGCCAGGTACTGGTCAGTGTGAGTGGACTTTCTGAAGACCTCAGTCTCTAATTGTCCGTTCTCCAGAATGATGACCTTACAATCTAGAAAGGCGAGTTCACTCTCCTTAGCATCCTCGCGAGTGAAATTTATAAAAGGGTCCACCGAATTAATGTGTTCTGAAAATGGTTCCACTTCCTGTTTCTTTAACATGTATCGTCTACATATCGAAACCAATGGCTTGGCGCTGTCCCTTGGTAAGAGACAAGGGCTTGTTCCTCCAGTTTCTCCATATACAGATTGGCCACTATAGGAGAGACTGGGGAGCCCATCGCACAGCCATGAATCTGTCTAAAGAAGGTGCCTCTAAATTGGAAATACGTGGAGGAGGAGAGGCGTGTCCTTACCGTATGTGGCAGGAGTTTCAGAGAAACTACAAAGAATCTTTAGGCAACACAAAATCCCTGTGTATTTCAAACCTTTCAACACGTTAAGACAGAAATTAGTGCATCCCAAAGACAAAACACCCAGACACAAACAGAGCAATGTGGTGCATTCAATTAAATGTAGTGAAGAGGAGTGCACTGACCACTATATTGGAGAAACCAAACAGACTCTACAGAAACGACTTTACCAACATCGTAGAGAAAACTCTAGTGGGCCACAGTCGGCTGTTCATCTCCACCTCAAGGCCTCCAACCACACGGTGGATGACACAGAGGTTAAAATTCTGGCTCGGGAGAAGAATTGGTTTGAGAGAGGAGTGAAAGAAGCCATTTTTGTGAGGAAACAAAAACCTTCTCTTAACAGAGGAGGAGGGTTAAGATTTGTTTTGCCTCGCATCTATGACGACATCCTAAAAACAACGCCCTAACTTGGGACAAGGTCAGTGACATGCTAATGAGTTAGGAGGGGTGAGACCTGCACTCCACTTGAGCATCCCAGCAGACAATAGGTCTGTGACATGCTAAGGAGTTAGGGCCGTTAGCCTCAGCAGGGTCGTTAGATCTGCTCCCCTTCTACATCAAGCAGACCTTAGATTGTTTATGAGTTAGTATCAGGATTAGGGTGTGGCTAACCACACCCATAGGTTATAAATCAACGCGCGGTCCGAGAATTCATTCCCTGAAGAAGTCCGCTAGGTTGAGGACGAAACGTCGGGAAAACTTGCTAAGAAGTACAGATGATGGGTGAGAAACCTTTCTTTGCTTTTTTTATTATGCAATTAATACATTTCGGCGTCAATCGATTACCCGGAAGTGAAACAAGTTTGTTTACTCGCACGGGAATAGTATTACCTGTGGACCCCTGATAATTTGTGATAATTACGGAGGACGTCTGAGATTTTGCAGTGCATTCACACGGGATAAGCAATATCTGTAAAATACTGTTTTCACTGACATCTCACATAACGGCCGCAGGTGCGCGGGTCTCCCCGCTACACGCAGTCCAGAGAGTCGCGTCTGACCCATAGACTGTACCACAGCAGCCACAGAGACCATGAGGACAAACATTTTACTGCTCTACAGTTCTCCGGCCTATATTGTCTGTAATGTTTAATAATAGTTTGTATGGACTACTCGTGAACTTACTCTGCGAGCCGAGCCGACAAATAGTAACGGCTGCAGCAACACGTCTGTACTGTATTAGGACTGTATTAGTGCAAAGTAAACGTACAAATGCAACCCATTGGTCTGATCATGTTGTGTCAGTGAACACATTACACTGTCCTCTACACTTCTCCACAGACCTCACAGAGACAGCAGCAACCGCGACTCTGCAGGTGTTCACAGCCGCGATATGCTCACTGACAAAAACAACGCAGAAAGTAAAGCGAAAGCGGCGATAGCGATCACAATCACGGACATGTAGATTCTCACGGGATTAGTATTATCACAGAACGTCTGTGTTCGGACCATAGACTGTACATATTAACGGACAGAGTCACGCATATCTCCGCCGTTCTAACTAATGGGCCAAAAAATGTGCTCTACTGGAGCTACCCAAAATGGCCGCGAGTGGTCCCGCCCACAAGAAAATTGTGAAAAAACGCATCTGTGCATGCGTCAGCCGGTACAGCTCCATTCATTTGAACGAGAGACTTCAAAAATTCACAGCAAGTAAACTAAAGTGGACCGAAAAAATCCACCCTCCTCAGCATTGACACACATGTGGAACGGAGCTTTGGGCCAAGAGCCAACTTTTGGTCCATCCTGTAAAGACGTTTTTGAGAGGTCTGCCAACGCTATATGTTAGCATTGGCTAATTCTACTTCTGGGTCCACCCCCATCGGCCCGGGGTGGTATTGCAAGCATGTCAGCGCACGTCATTTTGGCCACTTTTGAGCTGGGACCTTCCCCCACTGGTTTGGACAAATACAGGAGGTCATTTGCGTAATTAGCGCGAATAGGGCTGAAGTAAACAAACTTGTTTCACTTCCAGGTAATCGATTGACGCCGATGTGTTGAATACATAATAAAAAAAGGTGAATTATTGCATTTTCTAGTTCCCAAATCCGGTTATTATAATATATATATATATATATATGTTTTTTTTTTTTTTTTTTTTTATTATTATTATATATTTAAACATAATACAAACAAAATAGATGCCACAAAATACAGATAACAATCATGATATACAAATACAAAAAAGACAAACTAAAAAATAAAACAAAAACCAGGGCATACACTTAGACGTTTGTTGTCACCTGTAAATGTAAAGGGCATGTGTCAATAAATGATAAAAGTTTAGTAGCATTCTTAGATTTTATGAGATTGAGTGAAGTATAGAATAGTTTAAACTCATTCCTCCAATGAATGTAGTTCGGGATGGTTTTAAAAAAACGGCACTTGTGAATGTAATGTTTAGCTAACATTATAAGATTATTAACACCATATTCAGTTAAACTATTAGTAGAGGAAATACCAAACATTACATCATGAATAGCTAAACTTGGCAGTAAAATTCCTTCGATCCGTATTCCTTGTTGAAAGTCAAACCAGAATAACTGGACAGATTCACAAGAGAAAAATAAATGATCTAAATCTTCTGTCACCGTCTGACAGAATCCACATTTGTCCACATCCAATTTAAATTTACACCTCAGGAATTTGTTAGTTGGATAAATCCTATTTATAATTTTGAATTGAATCTCTTTACTCTTGAAAGGGAGAGGATATTTTAAATAATTGCATCTGATTTTTTTGATTTGTTCCTTTTGATAATTTTTGAGAATATAATCTCGTTTGAGAGAATTAGTAACCAAGTTATTGAATAGGCACGATCGAAGGAATTTGTTGTTACATTTAACGTCAGTAAATTCGATACCATCAATGAATAGTCTCCTCATGTTCGGGACAACATTGGAATGAATGAGGTCTTGTTTAACCATATTACAGAGCGATTGCGGAAGAGCTTTAAGAATTTGTTTATATTTCCTTAGTGTACATTGGATCTGAAACTTATTGCAGAATTCACCGTGTTGTAGTAAATTGCCTTCTTCATCCATAAAATGAGAGATAGCCCAAACACCTTTAGAGAACCATTCTTCAATAAAAATGGACTTTCTGTTCACCAA